TAAACGATCACAGCAAAAATATCCAAGTTTCTTCAGCTCTGTCTGCAGGAAAATTCCGAAGCTCCCAAGGTTCTAGAAATGCAGAGACCGGTAAGCGTCTGTTTCCTCCATCCCGGGCAGAGCTCACCTTTGGGCGGCCGTGTTGGCGTCCAGCACGCCGCCCCCCTGCATCCAGCTCCGGACAGCGTTCATGCCTCCCAGCGGCTCCTCCTTCAAGCTGCTGCCGCTTCTCTGGATGCTCTCCTGGATCCCAAACATGAACAAACCTCCGTGTCTCTTCTTGGTTCGTCTCTTGGTTGTCTCCTCTGTCTGGATGTGCACTTGTCCTCCCGTGGAACAACGTGGGTGCGCTTTCTGTGAGCGCCAAGAAAAACCCAAGCAGTTGAAGAATTAATCCCTCTAATTCTAGCCCTGAGAGGAAAGTGTATGAAATGATATCGTGGAGGTACAATCCAAGAGTCCAAACTCTGAGAAGGCTGATGAAATCGTCTCGAAAAAGGCAGGATGCGAAAAGACCCAGAAAACGTCCTAAAAGTGTCTCTGATGCTTGTGGTGATCCACAGTTGAAGCTGTCAGGCAGGGAAAAGGAGCTCAACTCGCACCCGGATCAGATGTCGCCGTGCTCGGACTCTTTTGTCTTTTCCTCTCTTCACTTTCTGCTCTCACTTTCCTCTGCCCAGCGCTCCGGGACGTGATGGGGGTCTACGGGTGTCCAGAGCAGCGCTGCTTCCTCTCGCTGCTCAGCTCGATCTCTGAGGAAAAGCGCTCTCTGACTCTTCCCGGAGGACTCGCTCTCTCTCTTCCTCTCTCTCTCTGTCTCTGAGAACCAAACACGGGCTTCTCCCACCCCAGGGAGAGAGAAAGAGAGAGAGAAAGAGAGAGAGAGAGAGAGCAAGGATGGGGAGGGGACAGGACGGGAGTAGAGAGGAGAGGAGACGCCCCCAAACAAAGGCGATCGTAGAGTCAGGTCCGCTTCATCGGAGTGCGGTCCGAGTCCGGATGCGGAACCTGAAGTCGCCCCAGCATTAAGTAAAAGAAACTCTCCTTTTCGTCAATGTGGAGAGTTATTCTTGTGCAGTCAATACCACAGAAAAATCGAAAGTTTGTTGCTGCTCATGGAGGTGGAACAAACTGAAAGATAATACAGATGTATTCAGTTGTGAGACGATCGTGAGAAATCTTTTGGACGATCGTGAGAAATCTCAGCATCGGTCTTCACGCAGTCTAAATTTGATATGATTGTGACTTCTAGGAATTATGTATTTTTTCCAATTTCACATTTTAAAGAAGATCTATATTTGACCCTTAAATATACAGAAACTATCCGTCTGTCTACCCAAGGTTCCACATAAAAAAAGAAGCACTTTTAAAGAAGTGAAAACCCATCGACGCTTGTGTAGATCCTCTATTAGACTCGTTTCAGCCGCAGACACTTCGTTAATCTGATATCAAACCTCAGCCTGTACATTCAGATCTCTGTTTTATTTAGACCAAACTGGTTAGGTTCAATTACGAAAGCCATATTTCATCGCCACAACAGATCGCTGCTCCCCATTGTCCTCCGCAGGCCCGCTTATTGCAGCCCAGCGCCGCAAGACGCACAAACAAAAGTGACAATAACAATAATTAGCTCAAAATAACAATGAGCATAATTGAGGATAATTGCTACCAGATTTCCCCGCTTTGTCTCTCCCCGCAGCACCATCTGTTATTTGGGACTATTTATCACTCCGCCGAGAGAGGGAATCCAAACAAAAATATTAATAGATAAATCTGAGAACTCTTATAATAAAATGAAGCTGCAGCGTATTGATCTGCCGAGGTGCCAAAAGGTCAACAACTTTTGTATTATTCAGCCGGCTGTGGGGATGATTGGCAGGAGAAACTGGCGCTGTTCCAGGGTTTAATTCCCAAAGGTTATTGAAAAACGCTCTTGACCTTGATTATGGAGAATAAGAGTCTTTTATGCTCCAGTTTCCTGCTTATAGAGGAAAAGAGAGGTGGAGGAGGATAAGCCCACATAAGCAGCAGCAGAGGGGAAGGATGGAGGGTGTGAAGACGCCGGGCACTCGGGGATGTATCACTTGGTTCAAAAAGATGTTGATCTCTGCATGTCAGCCAATACACAGCTCATTTAAATGTCAAATGACAAAACGAAAAAATCAATCAAATGAAAAAGGACAATAAAAAAATCTGAATTTGAGGATTTGTAGACAAAAAAAAAGATTAAAGCAGGTCAGCAACAAACAGAAAGTGAGAAACAAATAGCTGTATTATTGCCTGCACAAGGTTTTTTTTTAACAGAGGGCAAGATGATCAATTAGAATATACAACCAATCAGTTTAAAGGATATTATAAGAGGCAGTAGTGGAGAGTTGAACCAAAGGGTAAGTTGAGCCACCCCCTGTTGCTTGGAAATGGTAAAAGAAATTGATCATGTGACCAAATATTTAGGAATGGGCATCAATTCATGGAGTCTGTGAAGGTTAGAAACACATGGGTGAAGAGGTTAGATATTTATTGAAAAGTGAATTTAGTTTGTCATAAGTTTTATTAGAATTGTGTTTAGATCAAAAAAGATAATTTTAAATTTGTTTTATACATCAATTGTGGTATCTATGAGCTACAACATGAGGTCAAAAACCTTAACATAAAAGTCCACCATTTTAGCTTAGAGGACTAATAAAGTCATAATAGTAGTTCTGGGGTAAGTCGAGCCATTTGGCCAGGGGTAAGTTGTGGCTTTTTACAAAACATATATTTTACAAAACAAATATTGTACCAGTTGAACAGCGTATAATAGATAAAAATACACATGAATGTTAAGAAGTGACTGCTATTTAGGGAGAGAGAAGGTGAGGGAGGGCTGGGGGGTAGTAGGGGTACAGCTGAACTTACCCCGCTCCTATGGTCAACTTACCCCAAACACGGCGTAAATTGACCATAGGAGACCACTTATTTTTGGCATGCTATATTATCAAGACAGTTATGTTTACACTCATTCTGCTGGTTTGCAGGGATGAACAACATTTTAAGATATAGATACACTAGTTAGAGACAAAACTATGATTGCCTGGATGTAGTGATCCTAAATATGAAAAATGGCTCATCTTACCCCACTCTCCCCTACTATTCAGATGTGCTGTGTAAAAAAAAGTCAAGTAAAAATTTGCTAAATGTCATGTGCTCTATTTAAATACTAATGTATAGCGTGGTTTCAATTATGAGATTAAATTGAAAAAAAAAAAAAACTTTTTATGTAAGAAAAATAAAATAGTTGAGGACTTAATTGAGAAACAAGCAAAAGCGTTTGAAGGGTAGTAACGGATTCAGAGGAAAACATGTCTCTGAACATTTACTATAATCATAAGTCGCCGGTATCCTACTCTCAGTACATTCATTCTGCACAGAAAGAGAAACACACCCGTTCCTCCTGTTTCAGCCCTACTCGGGTTAAAAACAACACAACAGCTCCACCGTGTGTCTAATCCACATAACTGTACAATGAATCACAACACAAACCTTCAAAAATGTCCTGTATCTGAATAAAAACTGTTTTTGTGTGAGTTTGTTCTGAATAATCTCGACTTTCAGTGGCGGTAAGAGACTTCGGTCAAAACGTTTGCCTTTATTTTAACACACTATAGAAAATTAACCTGCTCGATTAAAGAAGGGCTAGTATCCGAGAATTGAGTAAAGATTAAATAAAATAAACAGCAAATACATTTTAGACTGTGCCCGGTTCTTTTCAAATAAGAACTTTTGTGTGTTTTTACCTTGACTGAGTGATTTTCGAGAACTAGCGGAGCGAACCTCCTCAACAGAGTCCGCCATGTTTTCAAAGAGCGCGCCATTTTCTCTACAGAAGCCCAGAACGGACAAACCGCACCGTAGGTTTGGACTGGGCCTTAAGTATCGAAGCCACGTTAAAGTAGCGGTATTTTACTGCTTGAGGCCATTGTTTAACACATTTACTTTAACCACGTTAAATTCGTCAAAGTCACTGTTTTCATGACTGATCGTGTTAGCTAATTCTCCAGGTTTTAATTTACAGCACTGAATTGTTATATGGTTAGTGATTGAAGCTCCCAGGCATATCAATAGTATCAGAGTTTAAATTAAGAGATTAATATCATATAACTTCATTAAAAGCTGATATAAAATTTAACAATTACCACCAATAATTCTAATTTCAAACCTGATGGCAAAAACCTCTTCATGTTATGGGGTTCTTGTTCTGTCTGGGTTCCTTGTGACATGAAAATGGCCTTCAATTCCATTTGAACTGAATTTATTGTTTTTATCTGTCTTTTTCTATGTGCTTTATGACAATATGTCAATGCAAACTTCTGTTTTTAAAGTGCTATACAAATAAAGTTAGTAGTAGTAGAAGTCATAGTAGCAGTATTTTCTAGATTAAAAAAATTAAAAATTTGAGATTAAAGTCGAAATTGTGGAAATTTCAAGATTTAAGTCAACATGAATAAAGTCGAAATTTCTACTTTTTTAGATTTCCACTTTATTCTCGAAATGGAAAGGAAAAAAATCTCCCTTCTGTATTTTTTTTTTTTTTTGAGAGTACAAAATGTGAGTAATGTCGAAATTTGAGTAAAAAAAATAGATTTTGAGATTAAAGTCAACATAAATGAAGTCAAAATTTTGACTTTTTTAAAATTTCGACTTAAATCTTGAAATGGAAATGAAAAAAATCTCCATTCTGTAATAATTTTTTGTGTGTGTGTCCCTAATCCTCTTTCGTACAATCTCTTTAGAAATTTAACTTTTGAAATAAACTGGGGTACAAATTATGCAATTAAGTATCTGAAAGATTTCAACGTCTAATGTCAATAATCTTTTATCGTTATCAGATAAATTGTGTACATGGTGTTCATTCTTGATCTGAGACAGTAGGGAATGTTATTTGACGTTTTATAGGCTGGGGGAGTGATCGCAGCAACTTCAATTTCTCCAAAAGGGATAATAACCAGAGAGTCTACATGTGGAATAAACAGCTGACAGGCTTCTCCGACAGTTTAATACTGTAATGCACATTCACATTCAGTTTCCAATGACAGTTATCATCTCATCGAGTATGTGACAGTTCAGTGCTCCACAATGAAAACAAGTCGTTTATGCAGTTTAAAACACATGTAACCATTTTCAAGTGCTCGGTTGTAAATCAAAAGTCAATGAGAAATGGAGCTGATAATAAAACGTCATTCAAGAATACGGTAAAGTCCTCATATTCGTCTTTCACTGGAACATGTGCAAATACATCAAACTCTACAGTTCATCTCTTAAAAAAAAAAAAAATAAACACAAACAGTTAAACAGCGTTGGCCAGGTTTAATCCTACATTTACCATGTATTCATTCTTAGCCCTGCAGCCAACGCTTTCCAATAAAAACAGGAAATTCATTCATCGCAATAAGACCTTTTAGTAATAGTGGTAGAAATAATACTGTTTATGTTTAACTAGTGCTTCTCCTGCACCGTCTGCACCGTGCTGATCCCACTCCTAACAGTAGAGGGCACCGGAGTGATCACACCAGCATGAGGATGCGTCATACAGTGAGGAGAAGCAATAACACTGGCTGGTCTCCAAGATCAGAAAGCTATTTTTCTTGTCCCCAAAGCTTCTCAGCCTCAAGTTTGTCTTTGTTCACAAAAACACGAAGCTCAAACGGCTGGAAAGCTTTGGAAATCTAGCCCTGAACTTAATTATATAACAACACTCCTCTGGTTTAATACAGATGCCATACAGAGCAACATTTATATACATTACACACATACAGATTGGGCTGTTTCCTCATACATAAACACGTCAGAGGGTTTGGTTGCTGACAGCCACCGAACGGCTTTGGAGCATCGCTAGTAGAAATGACATTAGTCCCAATGATAGTGAAAAACAAGGACAAGAAGGTACATGTCATAAAAAATAAAATAAAAAAAGCAGGAAAAGTTAGTGCAAAGTGGGAGAAAGCAAAAAAAATAATACATGGTAACAGCGGCAGCATGCAAGCTTGACATGTAAGAGCGCATGGGAACTCTCAGGCATTCACAAAGTTCTCGTCTTTCAGTCCTCAGAACTCTCTTCCTTCCTTTTTGCTGAGTGCAGGGACCCCCTGAGCATGTGCATGTTAATGTATGAAAATAAAACAAAGCTCTCCTATTGCACAGCTCAATTTGCTGGGAGGAGCATTTCAATAAATAACAGAGCAGCAGCAGCAGCAGCAGGAGGAGGAGGAAAATGATGGTCGAAGAAGACACGGGAGCTTTGATTTGATTGGTTGGTGGGTCAATGACGTATAAGGTTTTTAAACATGCCAATTTCAAAAAAGCAAAAATAAGAATATCTTCAAACACTAAGGATGTTGTGTACAAAAAAATGTAGAATTTTTCAATTACGCAATTTTTGTGTTTTTTCATGTCATGTCATGTGGTGCGACCATCATTTATCTCAAAAATATTATATTTTTTCAACATAATCATTTTTTACAAATTCTTAGTAATATCAAGTAGATAGATGTAAATAATGATCTCACATTTTCGCTCTATAATGTCACGGTCGCTTTACACTGATAAAATGTTTTAAAACTACCTTGAACGTAAGCGTACCATATCAGGTATTAATGTTTCAGTTACAGAAATTAGATATTTTAGTTTGTATTTTAATACAATTAATGTTATTATTGGTCGCACCACATGATATTTTAATTACAAATAAGACCTGATTTTTGAAAAGTTGAATTGACTACATATATGAGAGAGAAACTACATATACAAAGTATATTTTTGTGCATTTAAACCTTTTTTAACTTAGAAAAAATACAGCCGGACAGAATAGTTAGGCGTCACGTCATTGACCCTGATACAGAGTTATAGATGGAGTGATGGAAGGCAAAGAAGAGCAGAGGATGAGCGAATGAATGAAGTAAAGCTCAAAGTGATGATAAAATGACGGCCCCATGCCGACTCCGCGGGTGACTAAACCCTCCTCATCCTCAGACGCTTAAGACCACGTGTAAACAGCGGCCTCTTTCCTCGCTGTCGAATAAAGCGGAAATGTAAAAATGACTTTAAAAATAACATCTCTCTGGCTATGATACAAAAGTTTGGCGATGAGAAGAATTACTGATTCTTTTTTTTTCCTTTGCTGGGACCAGCCAAACAAATGGGATTCAGATATTGGAGCCATATATATCAGAGAAAGTATGACACATGAAATGAAGTTCACACATTTAACTCGACCACCACACAAGAAATCGTCTGCTTAGCACCAGGCTTGAAGTCATATGATGGCCGCGAGAAACATTCAGTCTTTGTGTTTTCACTTTTACACCTGACTACCATCTCCCAGCAGTGAAAACTGATTTTGTTTTTGATAGAGAAATCTGTCGACTTTATGAAATGTTAAGACTTTGTCACTGTTTGAAATGCGATTATGTTATAAGTCCTCTATCTTCGCTCTCGACATACCTGAGCCATTTCTTATTACTTCATGGCACATACACAGGACGACAGAGAACTCCCAAACACTGCGAAATATTCAGCGACAAGAGTGAAGAGCGTGGGGTTGAAATGAGAGGAACATTAACGTGATTTTAGAGATGTACCTATAGCTCGGATATCGTGTTAAAAACTAGGTTTAGTTCTGCGCAGAACTTCACATTTGTGGAAAAGTACCCATTCCTTTTGAGATGAGATTAAAGCTATCCCCTTCGTGTTTTGAGTTAAAATCAAACCCACCGTCCCACATCTTTGCTGGCATAAACTTTAAACAAATGCTGTCAATTAATTAAAAAGAGTCATCAAAGTTAATCGAAGTGGAGGCCCATAGTTAATCTGTTTTAGATGACTTGTGTTTATCATCAGTAATTTTAGATATAGTATTTTTCGCACTATAAGGCGCAGTTAAAATCCTTTTGGCTTGTCGGAGCACTGCAGCTACTGTAGCCTCGCGGAGTTATTGAATGAGTTAAAATAAAGTTTGATTTATCTGACTGTTTTGTTTGGCTTAATGCGCTTTATAATCCGGTGCGATTCATGTATGAAAACAGACGAGAATAGACGCGTTCATCAATGGTGCACCTTATAATCAGGTACACCTCATAGTGCGAAAAATACAGAACTTAAAAAGGTGCCACACTGAAACAAAAGAAAGCTACTTGTTGCTTCTTCCAATATAGTCCAAGTAATTTAGTTTGGATTTTAGAGAGGGATTCCGGGGTGATCAATCAGATTTCGACTCCCACAGCTACAAATACAGAGGCGCCTATACCTCAACGTTTATGAACGAAAACACCGGACCAATAAGAAAGCTCTATTTGCACTTGGACAATTTTAGCCAGATGTTGCCACGCAGCTCAAGTAATCAAAGACACTGAACGCTACAGAAGGCACCTGTTTCACTACCTCCTCAAAATACGGTTTAGAAGTCAGATCGCCCCACTGTAATGTATGCACTATGCCTCCACATGCTGTGAATGACTCAAATGCAGCTTCATGATTATGTGAGTAGATTGAGTTTGTGAGTTAATGACCTGGATCTTGACCTGGTTTGTTTTTTCTTTGTTGTAAAAACAAACTAGTCCAGTGCAGCATATCCCACAGCAGATCAAACTCGATATATCATTCGATCACTTGACGCTCAGTAACGTACGCTCTTGTTTCACTGCATCACAGTTTTTTAGGGCTACTTTCAGTAAATAAGGCTCGATGAAAATTCGCATTGGAAGTGGGAAAAGTCATGATTAATACGTGTTAAAAAAAAAAACAAACCTGATCAATCAAACCTGTTAAAGTTGCCAGCCTTAATTTAAACTTAAAAATATATCTCAATGAAGTGTCATTTTAAAACAGTTTGATTGATATTTCTGCTCTACTCTTAGGTTTTTTTACCTCTCCAACTTCTAGTAAAACTTTCTACATCAGGGGACAGTAAACCGCTGGACAGGTATGATGTAGGCAGAATTTTGGCAGATGGGGTGTTGAGAATGTGCGTTTCTTTTTGTGCATGCATGTATGTCTTTGTGTTTTGTGATGGGGCTCAGAGGCTGCATGGAGGAGGACGCTGCTACTCAGACAGAGAGGAGGGCTCCTCGGACTGGGATAATCGACCTGCAGGTGACTCCTCGACATACGGTGGGAAGCCTGGGTTTGTTTCCACCCGGACTGAAAGATGTGGGGAAAAGCGGTGACGGCAAGAGGGGCGCGTGTCCAATGTGTCTGCAGAAGGGGAGGAAGACAGAGGGGGAACCTTGGACTCTGATTCAGTGATAAGAGGGGCAGGAGGAGAAGACGAGGAAGAAGATGGTGTTGCTGAAGTGTTGACAGGCTGCTGAGTCGAAGAGGATGAGGTGAGAGGTGTTTCTCCATCTGACGTTGAAGGTCCAATTTCTCCCTCCTTTTTCTGATCATCTGAAGAAGTGCATTCGTTCTGCTTATTATTGGCGTCCTCCTGCCCAGCAGGATTCTGATTGGCCACGGAGGTGTCTTGATTGGGGCCGGCGGCGCTTGGCGGTTGGCTCTTGAGTTGGGAGTGACACAGCGGGCATGTCTCCTGGACATACAACCATTTCTTCAGACAACCAGCATGGAAGAAATGACTGCAGGGAGTGATCACAGCACTGTTCATGTCCTGGAGGAAACAAACACAAAGAAGCACACAGGCTGTGATACACGTCCCACAAACCAAGCGTTAAACTTAAAGCCTGAGATCTCATTCTGGTCATATCCTCTCCCTGTTTACACAAATCCCGCTCATACCTGGTAGCAAATAGCACAGATGTCGTTGTACTGTTCCAGCTGGGTGTTGCTCGCTGTGGGGAGGCTTTTGATCTTGTTTACAGCGTCTCTCCTGAGCAGGAAGCTCTGCCAGCCCAGCTGGGCTCTGAGCCACACATTATAGTACGAGTGGACCAGGATTATGGTGCTGCCCATCACACTCCACTCCCCAAATACTGTCTCTGACACACCGTAGCACACCACACACACTGCCACCTGGAAACAGAGGAAATCATTCACAGTGAGAGGGGGACGGCTTTGAGATCATGTACATTTAAAAATAGGCAGGAATCTGTTAAAGGTGTATCTTTTTTTGTGGTGTATATACAAAAAAGCTTTTCATATCAGTCAATAGCTATTAGTTATTGATTACATTTGGGAATATCTTGGGAAAACTGGTTGAGAGGGTAGAGTTTACATTCAAGATTTCTCTCCTCAGATCCTGCCAACCCCACCTTTAATATACATCTGTACATTCGTGAAACTCACTAGGAACTCCAGTAATCTGTAGGTCCCATTGACACAGTAGATAACTTCATCCATGTTCTCCACTGGAGCCTTACGAAATTCCTCCACCATGAAGAGAACATAGATCAGCAGAGTGCCGAGGACCTGTGGGTGACCAAAGAGAGTCTTCACATTTCAATCAGTTCTCATAAACCAAAGTAGAAACTCTTCGAGATCCTGTCTGCCTACCTGCAGTGACGTGAGGATGGAGGAGGAGATGATGATGAGAAGCCAGAAGTCCATGTGAAAGAACTGACAGATCATGTACGCCATGTAGGCCGGAAAGATCAGCAGGAACAGACACAAAGACACGGCTCTGAAGTGTTTCCACAAACTCCTACAGGACACGGAAGGAAGGAACCAAAAAATAAACAGATCATTAGAAATTTCCCTTTCCTCTAACAGATATAACAAACAAAAACAAAATAAACTTGTGTATACAAAAACTTCTTACTTGTCTCTTGATGCTCCCAAGGCCAAAACTATGGGGTCAGCGATCTCCAGCATGGACTGCAGAATAGATGCAACAACGATGAAGAGGATGATGGAGAGGAGGAACGCTCGGTGAATGACCTGAAGCTCAATGAGGCCGGTCTGGACAGCAAGGATCAGCAAGGTGATGCCCTCTGTCATCCCCCTGCACAGATACACAGGTAAAACACGTGTTTAACGCTTCATGTCACTTACCGACACCCTGAGCAAACACACACAGATATACACACACAAACACACACTAACCTGTGCATGGTGTTGTCATTCATAAAGGCCCTGTAACCTTGCAGGTAGAACTTGCAGAGTGTGAGAACTCCCAGAGCGATAAAGCTCACGGTGAAAACCAGACCCAGCAGGGAGTACGGTGTACTACAACACTCCGCGATGCTGGAGGACAAAGAAGGAGGAAGAGGGTTAAAAGTAAAACACAACAGACAAAACAAACTCAAACAGGAAAGACAATTTCTTTACAATGTGATCTAATTATACAGGCTGCTGATGATGGCTGTGCACATTTTTCTCATGACTGAAGAACCACAAGAAACAAGCGTTTGAATTTGTAATGTATTTCTGATCCCAGACAGGAACTATTGTTCAGTTTGTAAGCTTTAGTTTTTTGCAGCTTGCAGTTTGTAATGGATAATAAGGCTGTCAAAATCACCTCAAAATGAAAAAATGAAAAAAAAATAAATAAATAACACAAAGGTTCACATATTTGAATATCTAGCTCACACAGCTTGCATATAACTTGGTCTCACTCAGCATTTTTTCCATCTACCATGTCTGCCCAAAATCGGAAGAATTTACAAACGCAGCTCCTAAAGTTTGTTGGAGTCCAGACCGCTCTCTCCGAGTTTGGCTCCGACAGTTTTGGTCGAGTCTCACTTCTGGTGCAGCTCCCGTGACCTGTCCCTGACCCGTTGATATAGTGCACTCACTCGAAAAGACTTCAAGTCACTGGGCTCAAGTCAAGTCAAGTCTCAAGTCTTTAGCAATCAAGTCCCAAGCGAGTCCAAGTCATTTCTTGATTTCATCAAGCAAGTCAAAAACGGGACTCAAGTCCAAGTCGAGTCTCGAGTCGAGTCGTCAAGCCCCCACCTCTGCAATCAAGTGTAAGTCCAATCAGCGCTGCAGTCTCACCTGGTCAGAAAGAGAAAGAGGAGCCTCTCCCGTGAGGTAGGCTGGTCTCTCGTGCTGAAGTAGGAGTAGATCTGTAGAGCAAACAGAAGCAGCCAAAAACACATAAAGAGGACCGGGAGGACCAGCTGGTTCCACAGAGACATCCCCAGAGCGAGCAGACCGTACACTTCCACCACCTGGGGACAGAAAGAGAGACAAAGATGGAGAAGAGAGGAGATGGAGGTTAATGGGACAGAAATCTCTGGTGATAAAACCAGCGATAGTAGAAACGTGAACTTGATTTTACCTGGGCCAGCTCCCTGTAAGCAGTCTTAGCGAGGTTGTATGGTACCAACAAGTTAGACGCAAGGAAGTAAATGACTTCCAGGCCTGTGAAGATCATGGAGAACTTATTGATGAAGACGATGGTCTCAAGTGGGACAAGACACAGTCTGGCCACAAGAGGGAGGAGGTGAGCAGAGAAAAGCCAAATCCTCTTGGTCTGCATCACACAGGAACACAGCGTACACACCACCAGCTGACCTGAAAGATAACGAGTGACAATGACGCTTAAAGAGGATACACGTGTGAATACTTCAGACACAAAGACCAAATGAATCTACAGACTGTTAAAAAAGAATTTTACTGATACAGACAAATATCTATGTGTGGTCAGGAGATAAAACCTGATGAAAATATCAAGAGTTGAAACTTGTGGTGATTAAAAATGACAAAACTGTATTTCTAGGAGGACACCTTCACACTTAGAAGCTTCGACCCCCCCCCCTCCTCTCCATGGTCTCATATCTTTGCCTCAGTGTCCGTGTTATTTTGCTTTCTCAGGCTTTCACTGAGCAGTAAAATCAGCACAGTCTATTTATAGCACAGGAGACTCCATATCGACACTCAAAGATGAAACCAGATCCTCTGGACCTCAGAACATTATGTCCATTTCCATAGGCACATGTGTTATATGGTGATCAGAAAATGTATGTCCAGAGAGCGTCCGTGTCGTGTCGCCTCTTTAGTGATGCTTGTTAGCAGTGCTGCACGATTTTTAGCTCGTCCTCTATCAAACCATAGACTGTATATACTATGGACAACTTGGCTCCGCCTCCTGTCATTATATGAATCTAAAGCCGAATCGCTCTCATTGTACGCAGTCAGAGGGAGAGTCACTGTGATGACGCTCGGCTTAAACAGCATATCCCCCGTCTGAGCTACGCAATCTTTGTACTCCCATAGACTGTATCAAGTGTCAATCATAGAAAACATGAACCCCCTAATAACTTTTAAAAATGGAGCTGTGCAGAAAAAGGGGACTTAAGCACAAACCAGTCTGACAGTAACTACATGTCAACATTGCAACAAGGGGGGAGAAACATTTATATTCTGTGTAATTAATTTCTCAAATTTGTCCACAGCTCCACAGGGATTGCTGGAGGAGGCGGGATTTAGGACCTATACTGCAGTCTGACACCAGAAGGTGCTGTTCTCAGAGTGGCTACACCCAACAAGGAGGCAGACGGCGTCCATTCTACAACAGTCTATGTATTAGGGCTGGGACGATATGCTCAATTTTATCACTCGATTCGATCCTTTTAAAATTTTGGATGTCGATTCAATTTAAACTGCGATTCTACGATATTGTCGATTTTTAGTCTGCATTTTTAACACCAGTAAAAAAGCTGAATGATTATGATCGTCTCCTGACTTTTCCAGGAACCGCATTTCCCCTAAAAATACACGTCACATTTAAGTCAGTTTTTAAGATTCATTCTTAAATTTGAAAACAAAAATCGTTTTTTGAACATAAAAAGTGATTAAAAAATTGTAAAACAAAAAATCGCAATACTTGTCTGAATCGATTTTTTCCCCCAACCCTACTATGTATCAAACCCAAGCATATGCTGATCTTTCTCTACCATCTGTTCTACAGAAAACTCGAGTCAGAGACACATGTAAGAGCTCTTAATTTGGATAAAGCATGGTTCAGTCTTTTCAGAGGATAAATTCCTGCAGTCGTGGACAAAACCAAGTCTTTCCTCTACAATATTGTCCCGTGTCAAACTTTCTAGATGTAGAGGTGGCCAAGAATTGTTACTCAGAACAGTCCTGCTGCACAACATCCATCTGTATTGATGTGTAATCTCGTACCTATGAGTGCAGTGGTGAATCTGTTCATGGAGAGAGGTTCCAGGTAGACGGGTCCTTCATGGCCAGAGTCCAGCTCACTGCGGACATAATCCCTGACAAAGACAAGTCAACAGGCTCAATTTACAGGGAAATCTATTGTGGCTTATTATATATTACAAGTGAATGCTTACTGATGGCTGAAATAAATGACTTCATACATCTTGCATAATGTAACTTTCCATACTTTCAAAGGCCACTTTAACAGGTATACATCATAATCTACAATAACAAAGACTTTAGATGCCGGAACAAGCATTCTCTCTCATCCAAAGCCTTACCTTGACACTTGATGACCAGCAAACAGCAACAAAGCCGTGAGGACATACAGGTAGAGTTTAACCAGGTGTTGACGAGGCAGAGTCAGGAGCACGAGGCTCAGGATGTAACCTGCAAAGCGCAAAAGATACACAAAGCCGTGTAAAACCACCTGTCAAGTAAAGACAAGTGACAAAACAGGTATGAAACGAGCATCCTCATGACTCCATGGGTAATCACATGTCAGATCTACTTAAAGGAACAGTTCAGGTTTTTTGTTTGTTTGTTTGTTTGTTTTTGGTGCAGTTGTAGAAAAACTTGTTCGTAATAAAAAGGTATTGGCCACAGGGAATTCTCGTAAAGTCCGCCTCTTTATTGAAAAACTGTCCAGAGAACCGAAACAGAAGTCAAACTGTCAACCCCAACAGATGGACCCAGCTCGCTCTATCACATCATTTAGCTGATTATGACAATTTCATTGTGCCCCTAAAGTTCTTTGTGTGCTCCTTACTTTTTCAGTTTAGTAGCACATGTGCTCCTTGTGAAAAAAGTTAAGCCCTGCTATGCATTAACTTAATCCTCAGAAGCTGAAAGCAAGAATAAGAAGATATAGAGAATTTAACTGAAGCAAGGAAACAGTAAAAAAGTTGAACAGTTTGGTATTGATGAAAGATGGCGTTCTCTTAAAATGCTGTTTGTGTTTTATTTATTTCGTCAGGCTCCGTGCAACGCAGCCTCCAAAGTTTTAAGCACCAGTCCCACATTCAACCTCACTGGTTTACCCTCTTTGCATGGATGCCAGGAGTAAAACTGGTTTATGGCAGCATCCTAATTTTTATTTCACCAGTAAGTACAGGAGCTTTGATCATGCGATACTTGTCCCGGCGCCAGACAATCCCCTCCAACTGTCCTGAAATCCTGACAGAGCACAGTCTCATGACTGACGCTTGAACGTCTTGGACGCTTGAACAGTTTAAAAAAACTGCTGCATGGTAAAAGGTGAGAAAATCATGCAAATGTGACTGAGGGGCAGAAGTCTGCTGAAGGAGTTTGACCTACAATTAGCGGAACAGAAACTACTTTGGGCGATTAATTATTAACAGAGTCAAATTTTCCAACAGAACACCTGCTGCAAGTCTCGACAACTCCGCTGACACGAGGCAGTTACATGATCAAAAGTGTCAAACCGTATGCAGGGCAGACTGTGCAAAGCTTTTATATAATCAGTTTGTTTTACACTAATCTTCTGGGGAGTGTTAAAACATGGGGGGAATGTATTTGTGCTGGAGCAGGCTGTGTGTGTTCGTGTGTGTGTGTATGTGTGCTGACACTGACCTACGTAGTGAAGGTAGAGAGCCAGGTATTTGTACTGGAACAAGGGATTATTGGAGAGACTGGAGCGCTGAATCTTCTGGAAGAAGGAGCTGACATCCCAGCGGTACAGGACGTCCAGCAGCATGATGCTAGGAACACGCAGACCCACATTAAGCACCGCCTCCAAACGGTCCTTCACTGCCATGGCCTCAGCTTAGCGTCTGATTGGCAGGCAGAACTGACCACTAAGACGGAATGTAAACAGTGGGTTCGCTGCAGAGAAAGAGAAACGACGCACAAAAAAAGGAGATGGAGATTTACTAGGATGTGGTGGAGATAAGCAGGGTTAGAAAAGGATGAGGGACAATGAATTAGAAAAAAAAAGATGAATCTGCATAGAAATCACCTCCCTGCAGCAGCAGCAGCAGCAGCAGCAGCAGCAGCGGATTTTTACTGCGTTTGGCATGTGGGTGGTGTTAAAACTCCCTGTCTCATTGCAATTCCTCTGCCCAGCAGTTAAGACTTTATTTATAGTTGATGATTGGAATAAAAAGGCGTGAGTCTTCGTTCAGTTTTCAATTACACTTCTTTGACAGTTACTTGAATATTTAAAGAAGTCGCAGTTACAGACACAGTATTGAATGAATGAGAGACTTATGATAAACTGTTTTGTGTAACAAATCCTGATGTGACTCTTGGGGATGAACACTGTCAGATTTCTGCCAATATCAAATCTGCCAATGTTTTCTCATTTTGGCTGAAACCGATCATCATCGATATAGACAAACTTGTTTTCTATTATTAAGAACACAGAGTCTTTGCTAGGGCAGAATTCACCTCTCACACTTATTCTATCCTGTCTGTTTCTCTGCATCTGTTAGAAAATTCGGACTAAGTAGTGCAGACGCAAAAATCAAAGCTACTGCATCGATGTCAATTGTGTCTTGATTTTCCTTGTAGCTTCAGGCTCTGAACTCTGTGTTTTTTTCCCCCAGAGTAAAGGTCCTTTCACACCGGGAGCGTTTTTTTCATGCGATTATTTCCGACATCAATATTTTTATTTCGAACCTGTATCCTGTGTCCTCCTCAATACAAGCGTTCACATCAGCAATGTTTTCCCGTCCTGCGATATTGCGGTATTTATTCTTTCATATATCGGTCGAATTTTCTAAAGTTTCACATACTGTGTGTCCACTTCTGACTAATCAGATTGCGTGTTGTTGCGACGTCTGCCTCACCGGTATATCCAACATGGCTGACCGGCTGATTGTTTACGTGTGGGAGAACAGAGTGATTTTTGATGAAAGACACAAACATTACAAAGATAACGACCTGAAGGACCACTTGTGGAGAGTCATAGCGTCGGATTTCTCATATGATGATGGTTTGTGTGCTTTAACAGATTGCTAAAGGTCTTTGTTTTAACTTTCATCTGTGCTAAGTAACTTTAGCTCTTAAGCTAACCTGTTCAGATACAACATACCATATGTATTTTCAATGTCTCAAACTCAATCACAGTGTTGCTTTCACAGCACAATTAGGTCTCGGTTGTTACCTTACGTTTATGGATTAAAGTTTAATGTGCTTATCTGGTACTGGCCCCGACTCAGTACATGCTATCATGACAGACAGACATCTCAACATTAGTGTCTAATCAGAACTGAAAAACACTCAGTCTGCAGTTGTGTCAGTCTTCTCGCTTCCACCCGGGACGCGTCTTTTCCCCCCTGGAAAGTCGCAAAATCGCATCACGCTTGATGTGTATAGTCAGGCACGTCAAAATTCGCCTCCGAATATTTCGTAATTTGGCGTTGTATATTTGCGTCGGTCCCGGGGTGAAAGGACCTTAAGCAACAACAAAAGCATTTGAAAAATGCCACAGAGGGAAAAGATAAACATTTTGTTTGTATTAGATTTTTATTTGGATTCATTTGAGTTCCTTTCTATGATGCTACAGAAACACTCTCTGTTTGAATCTTTTTTTTTAGAATTTCAAATAAAAATGTTAATATCTGTTCATTATAACCATATCATTTTAACACCAACACAAGTTTAGTACCACTGTTTCTAAACATCTAAATTTGATCAGTGACCCACAAAGTTTCCAGGGACCCTCTCCAATCACCACCTTCAGGTCCCTGCAACATCTCTGGCTGTTGAAATAAAATTCATGACAAATTCAAAGACTGCTTCATCTGCCTTTCTGTGTATTTGTGCAGGGTGGATCAGTCAACAAAGCTCAGCTGTACACTACTGCCAAGTAAAACCCACTCTGTTTGTAGACTGCGCCCCTCCTCGCGTTTATATGTGCCTGCCAGAGACATGTGCCTCTCTTCTTCTCATTTAGAGAAACAAAAAAGAAAACAATCTTGGGGGAAAAAAACAGCGAGCATGGAAAAGAATGAAACTGAAAAGACTTCACTGCATTAACTTAAAAGTGAGATTGTACACAGAGCAAAACAGGAGCAGCAGCAACATGATCAACTTTGACTCCCACAACTAGGAACTGCAATAGGAATGCAAATTTAAAGAATTCTCCACAATTGATCTTTGGAAATGGTACCAATTAATTATTGCTCTCAAAATGCATTTTTGCAAACAAATGAACATATTAAAAGTAACTGACTGTACTGCATGACTACAGTACAAACAGAGGCTTACAAAACTTTGAATAAATCTTATATCAACGTGCAGAGCAGACTAATAACAAATAAATCTCAGTGGACAAAGTCTTATAAAGATAGACTCAGAATTTTAAATATGGAATCGCTGCAAAAACTGAAAGATTTGTGTATTTCAGAGTCACAGTTTCCAGTTTTCTGCAAACTTGAACTTATAAAAAAAATAAACACACGTCCACATCAACCTGGCCGCAGTTCAGCAGCAGCAGCAGCAAAAAACACACTTTGCAGAGACGCTGGTGTGTGTGCCAGCTTTGCCAGTCTAGGAAATCTCTCTGGCATTGACTTCTCACTGAAGTGTGTCCAAAAATGGGGTAATGCTCTGTTAAAAGAAAATCTCAATCTCTGTGTCTGTAGTGTGTTGGTACAAGCTGACATGACGAGCACAGCTGCAGCCCACAGTTTTACCAGTTGGGTCACTTTAATACACTAAGCAGATACCTGAATAAAACCACATGTTGTTTTTCTCTACCTGATGGAAAAATCAAGTAAAAAAAGTGTTACACAGAGTAGTCAAAAATGTGTATTTTCTCAATAAGAGATCAACATCATCAGCCTGGTATCCAAGAGGATATGCTTTCCTCCATGTTTGCTGTTTAGAGGGTAAATGCTGACTCCATCATACTAATGCACACATCGTATAAATCAAATGTTGCAGCTAAACTGTCCTACACAATGATTTACAACATTGCTCTGTAGCAACGGCTCAACCCAATAACAGAGGCATGAGGAGAAACATACAGGGTGTGTAAATTGTGTTGCAGCTTCTCTGGTGGCTAATAACTCTGGTGGCACTCAGTGTTCACTGTGTAAACAGAAGTACACTAGGAGACTCGTACATGTCTTCACAACACTATATTTACACCGACTTTAGACTTGTTGCAGTTGGTCTGCAACTAGGGCTGGGCGATATGGGAAAAAGTTTATCACTATGTATTTTTTCATTCCAGTCGATATCGATGTATGTCACAATATAAAAAAAATGAAATTTAACAGTGCTTATTGGTAGCATGTCTTTTGCAATACAATAAGCTACTGCACCTGTGAGGTCTTTGCATCTCTTTAACGTTTTGTCGTAAGGCGTTGCGTTTGAGTGAGCGGACTGAATGGTCGGCTGTTTCGGCTGCACAGGTGCCATGGGCCCCTTGCTTCACTCCTTGTGTTGCGCGTGCTCTGCCGTGTGGCACTGCTTAAGGTGGTGAAAAAGATTTGAGGTATTCCCCGACTTTGCGAGAACATGTACTCGAAATAATTTGCAGTGCACTTTACTCTGCTGTATGTTAATGTTTATGCCACTGGCACATTACTTTGTACTTTGTTACCTCTACCAAGAAGGTTATGTTTTCGGTAGCATTGGTTTGTTTGTCTGTTTGTCTGTGAACAACTTTACGGAGAAAGTTACAGATGGATTGACCTGAAATTTTCACCAGAGGTGCGTCTCAGCCCCAGGAGGATCCCATCAAATTTTGATGGTCATCCAGATTGCCTTCTGTATCCAGGATTTTTTTGAAGGATTCTTTACCATTGTGAGATAGGGCAAATTTTGGCATTTTTGGATTTAACTCTATAAAAATGGCCAGAGTCTTATTAAAAAATTACACAAAAGGATCTCAATGAGTTTCATGAGGTGTCATTCTGATTTTGTTTCAAAATAAAACATTGTTAAATGATTTCAGGGCGTGTAGAAGTACTTTTTAAACATTTTGAACATATTTTAATTTTTATCAGGATAATCATGATGTGAAATTTTCAAATCGTTACATCCCTAAATGCATCCCAATCTCTTTGAAGCCATTTAAGGGGAAAAACCTCTCGAGGTGAGTCATAATTATTCCACAGCATTTCTTAGCGGAATATCTCCATCACTTGATTTAATAACTAGTTCAGGTTAATCTCTTGGTAGCTGAATGGTAAGTTGTAAAAAACATAAATAAGTAGCCTGAACGTTAGCCTCGGCTGAGCTATGCACATTATTCTTATAGGGTAAAGTTTAATCTTGGTAAAAACACGAGTCACCATTCTGTCCGAGATGCCCACAAATATGCAGCCGAGGACAGAACCCTGGTATCTTACATAACTTTGAATTCACCACGACGATCACTGACCAGAGAGAGAGAGAGAGAGAGAGAGAGAGAGAGAGAGAGATCACCTCGCAGAATCCGGGCTTATATAACGGCTCGGTCTACCGCTGTATTTATATCTATCTTAATCTATTATCAGGAAGTTGGAAAGCATGACAAGGTAGAGGTTAATCTGTATGTGTGTGTTTAGCCAAACATCACTCATGTAAACCAAAACGCGCACACATTACAGATGAGTGAGTGAGTGCTGCATCGATTGTGGTACGCCATGAACTCTAGTAACCCCTCCGTCTCGACGACAGGAAAAATCTCTCAGCTAAAGACTGCAACACTCTGAGCTGAGCTGGTTTGTGTACTACGGCACAGTAAATGACAGAAAAACTGAATAACTGAATAAACCATGTTCTATTGGGCATTAACTGGTGGTGTATGTGTGTCGGTGTACGTGCTGTTTAGTGATGAAGAGCTGCATCGCGCACGGAGGAGGCACAGTGCCAATAATTCATGCTAACGCTGTCGACTAGCATCTCTGACAGTTAGCAACAGTCCGTAACCGAGCTAACTGTAACACAGCAGGGAATAAGAAACAACAAACGCAACTTTTGGATTAAAACAGAACCAAAAAAGGTCAGTTGGTGTTAACTTAAGCTATTTAAAGTGAAGCACAAAGCTGTCTCTAACGTTAGCATGGTTAGCCAACAGACTGAAACACATCCTGAGCTAGCTCCCATAAAAAAGAAGAAAAAAGAGATACTTACGAGAGAAGGACGAGGCTTTCAGTAAGTAAAATGTTTTCAGGATGCTTTTCAGGTCGGATATCGACCATTTTAACTCGGAACCACCCGAGTTAACGGTCCTCTTGATGGAAGCGCCTCGCACTCAAGGGATGCGGCCGATCCGCTCATCTCACCTAGCAGCCATTACCCTGAAGGACCGAGGAGGATGGACTGAGCATGCGCAATATCGTCTGTCCCATTATATCTCTTGGCGTCTAATTTAAGCAGGAACTGGAGATGATAGTATGTTAAAAATGTCATTGTATAGTATGAACAAAATTTCAAATTTTAGTGTGAAAAGAAAAGCATATTTTAGTATGGAGATAAATGCCATAGTCTAGTTTTAAAAAAATGTCATAGCAAAGTATGATCAAAATTTAAAACGATATTGGTTGTGGCCCTCTATTTTGTTGCATTTTAAACAGACGATGACTTCACTTTGCAATATCATGAGCTTCTAGATTGTCTAGAGTCTAGACAAGTGGTGGGCAACTTTGATGATGGAGAGGGCCACTATATTTCCACACTCATTCCAGGGGGCCACCTTACATATACTGTCGGTCCATTCGGCGTCACACAAAAGTTGCAAAAATAGCCGATCTACAAGCTCCCTGGGCTGCCAGTTGCCCTTGTATGGTCTAGATTTAGCTAGCTAGTTAGGGCTTGAGCCAAGAGCGCATGTTTTAAACTGATCCAAATAAAAATATAGAAAATGGCTCGCTAGCGCCCCCTACATAGTACCACGAACGTTGACTTTTTCCGATCTGCCCGAAATTTTTACATGCACGTGTGTCTGATTTTTGCGCATTTAGACTTTTTTCTCAGACGTACAGTTTAAGAGTTATTCCGCTGTTTTCGCCCCCTTTTGGCCATTTGCATATGTCACGCCAAATATATCCTGTTATTTTTGTCTTCCTTTTTTATTGGGGGGGTGCCCCACCCCATGATCTAAACGCAACAGAAACAGTATTAGAATTTATAAACTTAAAAAGGGCTTGATTTCGTGTACACAGGAATGTGCGCACTGAGGAAATGCCATTTTAAAACTCAAGATAAGGAAACACTGGAGGTTAAGGTTATAATCTAAGAACAAGTAACATAGAATGAAATTAAGAAAAAATAAATAAAATGAAATAAAAACAACAGTAAAAGATACTAAAATAAGAGCACCAAAATAGCTCAATAAAAGACGATCCTGTTGTTTAAACTAGAAAGAGATAAATGCTAAAGCACTTAAACAAAGTTAATAATTTAAAATTTAGTTGAAAGTAAGACTAAAAGTTTGGTTTTAAAGTCATTTAGATTAATAATTAAGATAACATTTAGACTTATAACAATCAGGTGCAAATGAAAACAAAACACATGAGACCAAGAAAATTTCTTATTGTTTTAGCAATACCATTCAGTCATTCATTCATTTTTCTACCACAGAAATTCACATTATTCAAATCACTTATATCATCTGGACAGTAAGTTAATTTTTCACCCCTTTATGGACACAACCCAAACCAAACAAGCACATCTACACCGCACACTTTGAAAGCAAGTTTTACATTATTTACGCAAATGTTAGTAGTTAAATATTGTCCGCCCAGAAGTGCACAAATATCATGTGCCAAAATTATGACCTCTGAACATCTGCGACAATTTTTTTGTTATCAATCTGGAATTGTTGATTAAGATCCAGTTTCTTGTGGAAGGTTCAAACACAGTACATGATCAGCTTGGTGTTTATTTCAAATGTAAAGGAATGGAGATAAATAAGTAAATAAATGAAATAAACATAAATTTAACAATTACAAAAATATAATAAACAATAAATAATAAAATAAATAAATAAAAGAATAATAAATATAAAAAGTATAATAACAATAAATAATAAATAAAAGAATATATTTTTATATAAATATAAAAATATAATAAACAATATATAATAACAAATATAACATATAATTAAATAAATAAATAAAATCGTTGTTTAAGGACGAAGTCACTGTAACCACTCTGAACGGGGTTTCTTGTATTGATATGCTGTCACCATGGTAACGAAGCTTTTCTCCCTACGTCACTACCGGCAGGATTTGTGATGCCAGGAAGGAGAGTGTGCGCCTCGCGCTGAATTAAACCGAGCAGCGAACTTCATTCATTGATTCATTCAGATTTTCGACAAAAATTGACCGTATTTACCAAACAGTACATGTTATTCTGCTCCTACAGGTAATGTTACTCAAACCGGGTAGCTTTGCTAGCTAATGTCAGCGAGTTGGCCGGTTAACTCGCTTGTTTACATTGTTGCTAGCCAATGTTAGCCGATTTATGCTAAAAATATCAACATTAGGGACACTGACTGTCAACCCTGATTAGGTGGCATCTGATCAGCGTGTCTTTTATTAGCCAGCGAAGAGAATAGCACATAACATGTCTAAAAATGTGTTTGTTTGACGTCGTTGTGTTGTTATTTCCCTCTGTGTGCTGGTCTGGTGTAGCAGCTGGTATCTTTTGTTTCTCCTTCTCTCCTCTGAAGGTGGACGTGTGCATGTTTGTCACTTGAGCGAGACACATCTGCTCGAAAGGGTGCGCACTTGTCGGTGCACGTGCAGCTGCAGCCGCGTGTGAAGATCCCTCGAGTACCATGTCAGTGTCGGTGATCATAAAGTGGGGGGGTCAGGAGTACTCCATCAGCTCCCTGTCTGAGGAGGACACGGTGATGGACCTGAAACAGTCCATCAAGACCTTAACTGGAGTCCTACCAGAGAGACAGAAACTGCTGGGACTCAAGGTTAAAGGTGAAACAACGCACTAATAAGGATGTGAATGGAGCACTGGAATATTCAGGAAATGTTATGAAGGGATATTCCGGCGTAAAATTAAGTTAGGGTCAAACACACCATAACACCGAGTTAGACACCCCCTCAAGAGATGAATGTTGCCGACCGCTTTCTTCTCTAGTTACACCAACTTTAGTAACGACCGCAGGATAGCAATACACAGCGGTCTGAGGAGCCATACACAAACCTCAACCAGAACGCCACTCTATAGCCACAAATAATGCTCAGAACAGCACCTGTTAGAGCCATCTGTGCACTACTGATAATTTTACTGATAATTAATAATTTTTGTTACTTATCCTGATTAGAATTCTGAGAGACTGAACAGTTGTATAGTTTTAATTTAAAGTTTAATTGAAGCCGATTACTCCTGCAGCTCTCCTATTGGAGGAGACATGTAATGTGAGACCTGCAGGTTTTTCTTGGGTAATTAGTGCAGCTGTGGGTCTTTGAGAGCACAATAGTTTTTGACTGTGTTTACATCGGGTCTCGATTTCATCATTATTATTTGTAAAAAGTATTGTGTTGTTATGCAAAGTGAACCTCCAGGTAAATTCAAGAAAGGGAAGATCGACGACTATGGCGTTTTATTATGGAAATCTGCATCAGCTACATGCTCTGGTTCTTCACCTCAGAGGGTCTTCAATCCTTAGACAGGGCTGCACTCACAGCACCTAACTTCATCAACAGTACATATAGGGTCCCAGCCATAGTACTAGCAACCAAACATCTTTTTAGCTTTGCCTGATTTCTTTAGCAAAGAGACTAAACACAACTCACCTACTGTCTTCCAGCAGCCGCTTGTTTGTAGCGAGACCTCAGACCAGTCCATTACGGACTACAGCGGGGTGACGCAGCTCAAGGAAGAACATTTATGATCATTTCTTCATGGAAGTGCAATCAGACCAGGACGCTAAGGCAGAAGAACTACCGCGTCTGCAGTGCAAAATGATTAATATGACAATTATTACTTCAAGCAAATGATAAAGTAAGGATCATAAATGTTCTTCCTTGAGCTGCGAAACTCTGCTGCAGTGTGCAATGGACTGGCCTGAGGTCTCGCTGCAAACAAGCAGCTGCTGGAAGAGAGTAGGTGAGTTGTGTTTGGTCTCTTTGATGTTTGATGGCTAGTACTATGGCTGGGCCCTGTTTGTACTGTTGATGAAGTTAGGTGCTGTTCTGAGCATTATTTGTGGCTATAGAGTGGTGTTTTGGTTGAGGTTTGTTTATGGCTCCTCAGACCGCTCTGTATTGCTATCGTGCGGTTGTTACTAAAGTTGGTTTAACTAGAGAAGCAAACGGTTGGCAACATTCATCTCTCAAGGGGGTGTCAAACTCAGTGTTACGGTGTGTTTGAGCCTAAATTAATTTTACACCAGAATATCCCTTTAACATTTATTCTCCAACGTAAAAAGCCGTTGTTCTCCACTTCTGTATTTCTGTTGATACCACTTCGATTCCTCCCTTTAGGTAAACCAGCAGAGGATGAGGTGAAACTAGGCTCCCTGAAGCTGAAGCCAAACACGAAGATCATGATGATGGGAACCAGAGAGGAGAGCCTGGTAGGTGGCAGGGTGGTAAAGGAATGAACAGAGAAAGACAGAGCTCATTATAATGTATTAAAGTCTTCTGTTTGTTGTCTGGCACACTTTGAATGCGCATGTGTTCTGTTTTGTAAAGGAAGATGTTCTAGCTCCCCCACCAGAGAATGATGACGTGGTCAATGATTTTGACATCGAGGAGGAGGTCATAGAAGTGGAGAACAGGTTTTTATTGATTTCTGGCTTTATAATGATATGAATATGAATTTAGACGATGAAAAAAAGCATAATTATAAGTGTAAGTCTGATTAATAAATGTTGCTCTGTGTCTGCAGAGAGGAGAACCTGGCTAAAATCGCCCGCAGAGTAAAAGACTATAAGGTGGAGGAGCTGAACCCTCCCAGAGTAGGAAAGAGGCTTCTTGTTCTAGACGTGGACTACACACTGTTTGGTAAGTCACAACAACACAAATACTTGTCTCTTTAGACGTTTGACATGGTAACACACTTTAATCATTTCTACACTTCATGTCTGCACAGATTTGACTCAAAGACCTTAAAGTGTTGATAGCATTTATCAGATACTTGTTATATCCAAGATAAAGCAGTGACTGTTTGTGTGCTTTGTGTGTTCAGATCACAAGTCATGTGCAGAAACAGGTCAGGAACTAATGAGACCATACCTTCACGAGTTCCTGACGTCAGCCTACGAGGACTATGACATTGTCATCTGGTGTACGTTTAATTTCTTCTCTTGTTCTTGATTATGGTCTTAAGTGAACTACACGCATAAACAACGTGATTGAGAATTTAGTCTTTGAGTTATTTACAGTATGGTGACATTTCTTTGAACAAGAACTGTGGACCATAATTTTACCGTCTGGTAAATGTGGTCAAAAGAACATCTCCTGGTAGAATATAAATCTCACTTGTTCTTTCTGTTTTTAGCTGCTACAAGTATGAAGTGGATCGATGCTAAAATGAAAGTAAGTACGCTGCATGTTGTCTTAGTTATGTTCTTGTATGAATCTCAAAAATCGAACCATCACATATTCACACGCTGTACAGTCCCATTTTGGCCAAAAGGTGGCAGTATTTACCAGTGTAACCCACAGTGTTTGGGTTCGAAGAGTAAAAAAGAAAAGGTTAACACTTGTGTGTGTGCATGTGTTTGTGTCTTTAGGAGCTGGGAGTAACAGACAACCCTCACTACAAGATAACCTTCATGCTGGACAGTGCAGCAATGATCACAGTACACACGCCTAAGAGAGGAGTGGTGGAGGTTTGTACACATACACAGATGAGAATGAAGTGAAATACTGGCCTCTTAAAGCGCTCCAGTTATAATAGCATACATGGATTTTGTTTAATGTCATGCTCACTTACAGGTGAAGCCGCTGGGTGTTATATGGGGGAAGTATGGAGACTTTTACAACAGGAAGAACACTATCATGTTTGACGACATCGGACGAAACTTCCTCATGAACCCACAGAATGGACTGAAGGTAGGCGGTTAGCGTCCCCATGTTAAAACAGACCTCTTCCATCATTAGTGTATTCATCGTGCACATATGTATATGTGTGTGATTCTTTGCACTAGATCCGACCGTTCATGAAGGCCCACATGAACCGAGAGAAGGACCGGGAGCTTTATAAACTGGCCCAGTACCTCAAAGAAATCGCCAAGCTTGAGGATTTCAGTGGTTTAAATCACAAGCACTGGGAGAGGTACACAACACACAAACATAATGGCACAGTAGTAATCAGGATGTGACACAAAATGTGCCTGTAACACAACTGTTGGCACTTTTTTGTGTAAAAACATGCATTGAAGGATGTTAGCCTGTTAAGGGTTATGCTGGTTTAAGGTTCTTTCATTCTTCTTTATTTATTTATCTCAACTGGAAACAAAAACAGCGAACAAAATAATACATATGTACACCAAACAACTGTACATGTCAAAGATACATTTACACAAAATATGTATGTCAAAAATAAACAGATTAAGAAGGAACTGAATGAAATAAAGAGCTTTTCTAGTCCTTCCCCTTCCTTGCAAATTAGATTAAAAAAAATCTAATTGTATAAATTACAAAGATTTGTATAAATACCTACATATGATACACAAAAGATATCTGCCCAACACTACATAGGTTACTTATTATGATTATTTGCATATTATAATGATAATCAGTGTTATAATATTCAGAATTGATATTACTTCTATGCAATCAAGTATATTTAGTATAAAACCATAAGGTGGAGTTCAACTCAGTGGTTTGTCTGCAAGGACAAATAAGCTGGGGTGACCATATTCTAAATCTCCCAAAAAGAGGACAAGACTACACGGGGACGGAGTCACGGAGTCACATCAAGTTAATTTTGAGTTTTTCGGGTAGGATCGAGTGTCTTTCACACGCTTCCAACTCGGTAAGTCCATGTGACACAAACTCTAAACTTCCGTACAAAACCACAGACATTTGAAGGATTTTATATACGCCCCTGGACAAGGCTGGACAAACCCAGACAGCCCCCCAAAAAAGAGGACATGTCCGGGTAAAAGAGGACGTATGGTCACCTTAAATAAGCAAATGGGAGGGAGTTTCAATCCAGAGTTTTTATTCAGTATTATATTCAGCTGGTATCTGTGGAGAGGGTGAGAAAGGAGTAACAAAAGTGAATTAAATGAAATTGCAAGCATGATCAATATCATAATTTCCATCAATAATATCAGAGCAAATTAACCAAAATGAGTCAAATACATTCAAACTGAGGAACATCTTTTCTTAACCATAAAATTATATATAAGTCAGGATAATAAATCAAAGATGAGTTATGTAAGTTATGTGGAGTCAGGTGGGAGAGTCAGAGAGGGAGGGGGAATTTCCACATGCATCAAAAACATAAACTTGTCAAAAATAACACAAAACAACAAATTTATGAGATATTTCTATTTGTGTGTTCTGTGAATCTGTAGGTACCTTTCTAAGAGGCAGCACCACTGAGGACTGACCACGCCGTCTGCAGAGACTTGAAGCCCCCTCCCACTGTCAAGTCCTCACACACATCCACACCAACTTCTTTGCTACGATGAGCCCCTCATTTCAGCTGTTTCAGCAGACCCTGCGTTAACCAACACTTCAAAGCTCAGGACGAAGATGGGCTTCCCAGTTTGTATAGTTGCATGTTATTTGTCTTTCCTAATTGGGGCACTTTTTTTTTCCAAAATGGTTCTTGCATTTTTTTAAATAAGACCAGAATCAGTTGGTGTGGTGCTTGTTCGATCCACTTGTGTGAGTAAAAGTTGGTTTGAGGTTGCATGGCCCAAACCGTGGAGACCCAAAAAAAAAACGTCAACACAGTGTCAACAGTCGGGTCAAGTCTGCAGTTAAAGAATCAAAACGAATCATTTCTTGAAAGCTTTTAAACCTGCTCGGTCTTCCACATGGGTTGGGCTCATTTTGTTTTTTTTACGTTTGAATTTGTGTTTGTCACTAAGAAGCTGGGATACTTCACTGAGAGCATCAAGCAACTCAGCAAAAATGTCATGTCTCTACATTCTGGCCAATAAGCTGTGTCCTCCCCCATCTGTGCAAAGATGAAATGTCCCCTTTAACCAAGGACAAAGGATAAATGCACATCTGAATATTTATATGCATATATGTACATTTTTCACTCCAGTTCATGGGGGTTACGTTGAGTTGAAATTAACAAATGAGATGAAAAACCACAGCCAAATTCAACGGTAAATCTTAACATTTTAGCGCCAAACTGTTGCATGTAGCTTCCACTATCTTACATGCAATAATCTACAAACCTGTAGGAACTGTGACTCTGAAAGTCTTTTACATTGAGATTGGTTGGTGAGGACATTTAACCTGCTCTTACTTGTTTTCACAGTTGCTTCAGGATGAGAGGAAGTCACTGTCGGGGTTTTGACGATCAGCTTTTAATGGGAGGATGGGGGGAGGCTTATTTCGTTTCTGTTCACCCTCATTGTTACATGCCAGCTGGGTTGCATTGCTGAACACACTCATATTTCGTCATGTAATGCAGAATTCAGTTGGTGTTTTTTTTTAGCTTTTATTTAGTATTTTGGTTACAGAAATGACAAACTAAGTAAAAATGAGATGCTGCAAACAAAAAAAAAACTGACCACACAAAATGTGCAAGCTATTACATTTTTCTGTTAGGTACTGTAATGAGATTTGTGTCTCTACACTTATTGTCAGTGTTTATTTTTAAGTTATGGATAAAGAAGTGGAGATGATACGGGGTGGTGTCATACCTGAAGCTCTTGAAAACATCAGGGATGTGATTTTTCAGACTTTGTCAGGTTTACCGTTCTCTTTGACATTAATTAATGTTTTTTTGTTTTGTTTTGTTTTTTTTGGGATGATCTCTTGAGATCTGCCTTTTAGTGTTTTCCTCATCACATACCTGATATCCTGGCTGTAAATATAACAATAAACCTTTTTGTACCTAACTAGCCTGGAGTAAGAAGTCTAATTATTAATACATCATTACAATAACGTTTATACTTGTAGTATTTTAAACATGAGAAAGGCAACAATTGCAGTGCATGATGATTTATTATGTTATTCATTTCTATCATATACCAATAATCACTTTATAGCTTTACATCAGCTCCAATAAAACAACCTCATCAAGTTGTCAATAAATACTGTACAATGCCAAAGCCCAGCTTTGCTTAAAACGGGTAAAAATAAAAAGCAGGACCACAGAAGTCTCCTCTCTCCTCTCTCCTCTCAGTACGGCTGCAGTCTAGCATTCCACTTTAGCTTGATTCACCCTGGAGATGGAAGAGAAAACATAAATCGTATAAATGTCGGGAATATTTCTTGAATTTATTCTAAAAAGTGGAAGAAATCAACTACTTGACAAACTTACGTGCAGTTGCTCCAGTGACTGAACGGCCCGCTGGTGAATTTGTCCTGAGCTCGCACGCAGAAAACATACCTCCTGGTTTTGAGGTTGACCTCATACTGAGCATGCTCAGTGGTGTTTTGCTGCCAGAGAGAAAGAAAAATAGATACGAAAGGATTAGATTCACATAACAGCAGAGAAATGCATCATTGCAGTCGCAGAGTGTGACTTAAAACCGTGCATGTATTACTCACCAGTATGGGGTGCTCATCGGTGCAGCTCTGTCCATTGCGGACCACCTTGACCTGGAACTGCAGGCGGAAGTATGAGCAGGGCTTCTCCCAGGACTCGGGGTAGCTCCAGCTGAACAACCTCCCGTCACTGATGCGTAGGTTTGGGAGTTTAGCAGGCCTCACTGAACAGGACGAGAGAAGAGTGCGGCAAAAGTATTGATTGTTATTAGTATTACTATTTATCAAGATCAAGATTGACTTTATCGTCCCTTGAGGGAAATTTGTCTCAGAAAGTTAGAGCTACATTTGCTGCAGTACATAAAATACACATAGAATGAACAGCATATAACAGTAAGAGGAAAGGGTACAGCGGTCGTGGTCATATCATAGTGCACATTTCAGGAGATTACAATCACACAGTAATCGTAAGCATCGTTACTGGTTAAAAAAATAGTGTTTAAGTGCTTTCCAGAACCCAGGACAAATACGAACTGAGTAAGCGAAAAATACAGGGGTGTTATGCTGCGTTCCAGTTGTACTCAGAAGTCGGAATTTCCGAGCTCTGAGTCGGACATTCATCTGGGCGCCCCTCTGAGGTCCGTTTACTCACTCAGAAAGTCGGATGATCCTCGCTAACCCCGACTTGACGACAACGTCATAATCCAAGATGGCAGCGCAGTGCATCAACAGTAAAGAGTAACAGTGAAACCTCTCGTAATGTTTTATTTATCAGCACTTCTGTTTTGTTTTTGCAAAATTAAATAAGCGGTTTATGTTGTACAGCCCAACGTCTAACTGTGAACACGGTGCTATGGTGTTTGTAAGAGTAAAATACTGTGTTTTGCGTTGTTCACAACTGGTATAGCTAACAACAACTAACGACAGCTGACAATTGTAAACAACGGCTAACTGTAGGCGTCTATCTTGATTTTCCGACTTGTTAACTGGAACGCCATCAACTCAGTTGTAATGCTGCATTCGAGTTAACTCATAAGTCAGATGTCGGAGCTGGGAATGACGACACACCCGAGATCCCAGCGTTTTAGTTACCAAGTCGGAAAAGGCCTGAAACAAGATGGCTAAATCTATGAAAGTTATTTTAGCGCTTGCCTAATATTCAGACAATGCAAGTGCTAAAATAACTTTCGTAGATGTAGCCATCTTGTTTCCACCTCCGATTTTGCTTTTTTTTCCGACTTTGAACTAAAACTCGGGTGTGACATCATTCCCAGTTCCGACATCTGACTTCCGAGGAAACTTGAACGCAGTATAACTCTTTGAACATTTTCCAAATAAATTAGGGTCACTGACAAACTCCATTGACAGTTGTGTATTATACCTGAAACAACAGGATGTTTTGGGGTGAAAACACCACAAACTTACACATGTACAAGACAAAAACAGCTAACAGATATTTGTCCACAGGGGGGCGCCAAAGTCACAAAGGAAAAAATTTTCACAGGAGCTTTAAAGTCAGCCACTCACCGATATCTCTCAAGTAGAAAGTCTTTGTGTAGGCCTCCAGGCGAGAGTAGCTGTACATGTAGACGGTGATGGAGATGCTGTTCTGTTCTTCGTTGTGTTGACAGTTTGTGTCCTGGCAGTGGACCCCTGATCCATCAGCATCCAGCACACAGGGTATCTTCTCCAGATAACTGAGGAGAAAAAGAAAAAAACAACTCAAACAAATGTTTTATAAACGATAACTCACTGTCTAGTCGGAGGATTTTAACATGAGTCTGAGTCCTCACCGCTCGGCCTTCACCATGAGCACAGCAGCGTTGGATCTGTCAGGTGTTCTGGTCCAGGAGCAGTGGAAGGAGCCTTTATAATTTGGTGCTGAACACTGGATGTGACCTGAAGGAACAAAAAGACACGGTGTCTCCCTTTATTTTGGCACTTTGAGCTCTTACACCTCCCTGTTTTCGTTTGGACTACCTTCTCTTGGCTGTGCACTTAAAATGTCCGGAAAATGGAGGTAAAATCCAAAACATTTTTATTTTTTGAGATTTAATTGCGCCAAAGATTTTGAGTTTCAACCTGCTGAAGAAGAAAAAGACTATCTAATAATTAAAAAGTGAGAATTATTTGGACAAACTTGTCGTTTTCTTTCCATTTGAATCATTTTTACTCTTCCTTTTGATTCCTCTTCAGTAATTGTCATGTTTTTCTTTTGTTTCTCCCTCTTTAATCTTTTCTGTCGGCGTTACTCTCCTAACTCTGACATTTTTTCATCCAATTTCCTTTTTCACACACCATGTCATTCATCTTATCTTAAGTGTTTCTGCTTCCGAGCCACACTCTCTACAAACTCGGTCTATTTTTTCTAATCTAATCTTCTTCTCAGACCATTTTTCTTATCTCAGCTGTTTGCTGACATCCACCCTGTGCCTCTTACACCTCCCACCAGGTCTGAAAACACCACTTTACTTTGTCTCTGCCTGCTCTCACTGCAGACCCTCATTGTTCTTTCCTCTTTTTTTTTTACCTTCCTTAGGGGATTTTTCCTGCAGTATGACAGTCCTGTTGTCCGGGTCTAGTTGGACCAGGATCATAGTGTGGTTGAGGTATTGTCCATCTGGGCTGTGGTGACAGGTGTAGTTTCCTGCGATCATCTCCACCACCAGAACTCTGACTTGGTTCCCTTGCAGAGCTGGTTTAAGTGCCTCGCCTTAGAAAAGAACATGTTGAAGGAAAGTCTGACTTAAAATTTAATCAAAACTTCGAGGGAAATTTACATCTGAATGACGGAAACCCTCTAGAGTATCAGTCGCAATCGTGTTACCGTTTTTCTTCCAAAACACAGGCTGGTTTTGGTAAGCTTCTCCACAGGTCAGATTAACATACACCCTGCTGCCTTTACCGTGGGGCACCCTTAGGACCAGAACTATAATAGTAAAGGAAAAACACACAAACAAGCATAGAGATAAAAAATAACCAACTTGATATAATGTAGAGTGATAAATCCAAAGGCACAGCAGACGAACATTTAGAAAGACAAAGTGGAGCTACCAACCATTACTCATGAGAGTCTCTACGTCCGGCTGGTTGTCATCTGAGCTGGCGTAGCACAGAGCAGCACACAGGACAACGAGAAACAACGTTCGCATCTAGAAGAACAGAAAGTCGGTCCATGTTTTCCAGATACTCAATTAGACAGCGGTGATAAAGAGAATTAGGGCTGAATATCCTTTATGTGTAAAATTATAACTGTGGAGTCAGGGTGGAAGTTAAAGACTTTAATACTGAAGAGAAGGATAAATCACAAATTGTTACTTACATAAAGTTACACTATGTTACTTTAATATAATATATATATTACTATATATATATATATATATATATATATATTATATATATTACTTTTATATAATATAAGATTTGTTACTTTACAATACAATGTGATATAGCACCACATGAAATCTAACTTAGTGCTTTGTCAACATTAACAGCTATCTCACAATGAAATTATGCATTAATATATCCTTTTTAATTAATACAAATGTTTTGTTATGGTACGTTAGGTTACATAAAGTTACATTAAGTAACATTAAGTTAGGATAAATCACATCAAGTGATGTTATGGTAAATTACTTTATATTAAGTTACATTAAGTGACACAATATTATGTTTTTACGTTTCGTTACGCCAGGATACTTTACAATGAGATGTGATATGATACCACATGAAGTCTAACTTAGTGATTAACAGCTATCTCATGATAAAACTATGCATTGATATACCTTGTTTAATTAATACAAATGTTTTGCTACATAATGTTACATTGCGTAAAGTTACGTAAAGTTATGTAAAGTTACTTCAAGTTAAGATAAGTAACATCAAGCTATGTTACAGGAAATTACCTTATATTAATTTACATTAAGTGACATTATGTCATGTTGTTACATTATGCTACATTACTTTACAATGCAATGTGATATGATACCACATGAAAACTAACTTACTACTTTGTCAACATTATCAGTAATCCCATGATTCAGTGATGAAATTAAGCATTGATATATCTTATTTAATTAAAACAAATGTTAAGCTATGATACAATATGTTACATTATATCACATTGTGTAAAGTTACATAAAGTTATGATACATTGAGTTACGTCATATTACATTCCATTATGTTACGTTACCTTACAATGTGATGTGAGATGATACCACATGAAATCTAACTCAATACTTTGAGCACAGTAAGTGATGCAATCATGCAAAAAGATGCCTTATACATAAAACATGTAAAAATGTCCTTAAAAGTTAAAGCTCAGCTTCAATGTCAACCATGATTAATCATTTAGTTGTGACAACTCGAGTTGAACTGCAAAGAACAACTTTAAGAGCACCCTATAATTTTGTTTTATTTAATGATCAAGATTTGATACCAGCTATACGATGATTGTTTCACTCAAGTCAGGACAAATTGTTGCGTTAATATTTTGTGCTCATTCTAAAAATACAACTTAAGTTTGAATTAAAATGAAATATTCAGCTATTATCAGGTTTCATTAACTTTTATGAGGTTAGAGTGCAGTGTCTGTACTGTTCTGTCAAGATAAGATAAGCACTGAATTATACCCAGAGGGGAAATCCGATAATTTAGAACAGCGGATGTTCGTCACCACCTTGCCTTGATATCTTCTTGAGCCAATTTGTTCCTCCTACATTTTTTTGTTTGTTTGATTTTTTTAATCATTTGTTTTTTACCAAGCTGTGACATGGTGAACTAGATCTAGATGTAAGCACAGAAGGTTATTGTCACATAGGATTACAAAGAAATCTGTTAATTATAGAAACAAAAACCAGCCTTAGAGTTTAAATACCAGCTACATCAATCTCACTCTATTAAAATTATTGATCTAAACAAACTCTTTAACAAAAGGTGTATCTTAGTGGAATAAGTACGTCTAGTGTTGGAGAAAAAATGAAAATAAACTGAAGTGTAAAAGAGCTTACCGTGCAGATTAGTCTTGATCCAAACTCTAAACCGTGAGCAGACTTATTAAGCGTGAGATGAGAAGACTGTGCTGAGGTGTCTGTATTAGCCCAGCCTGCTGTCGCTGTATTTATATCTGCCTGAAGTGGTGAAAACCCAACCTCTGCATGTGCGTGCGTGCGTGCGTGTGTGTGTGTGTGTTTGGTCTTACCTGTGAATGACTGCTGATGTAATACACCCTCAGTGGGAATGACCAGCGGCATTTTCACTTTGTCTACGAACAATCAACACGATTTCATCATTCTTCCCACATGACTCTCAATCACCTTTGTCCTATTCGGTTTCCAACACCTCAATGGAGATCACATCGGCTAAGAACAATAAAGAGTGTTATTTTAAACAGTTCCCCTTTATGAATACTGGATCTCTGTGCGTGTGGCCGCACTGACCATCACAGAGGAAGTCAGAAGACAGAAACCTTTCGGAAAAGGGAAGGAGATAAAGCTGAAATGAATGCTGTTTACAACATGTGGTGGTGTATCACTGAAAAGTGAACAGGTACCTCGGGAAATGGTCGCAATAGTTCTTTGGAATAAGAGTAAGCGTCAGCGATTGCTTCAGTGTGGAAACGGAAAAGAGAAGAAGTTGCAGCTTGGATAAGACAAAGACAAACATTGACTTACTCTATAGTAAGTTTTTAGATAAAAGGAGAATTAGGTTTATAAAACGCAGCCTTATAAAAAGCTGTATTAGTAAGAGTATATGGAGGAGTTTCCATGTAGCATTTATTTAATGTCATGAAGGTTTTCCTGTAACGAGTAGAAAATTTCCTGTATGTGTGGCTCTACCTTTAGTATAGTTGGTACGCTTTTGTCTCAGCATTGCTCTGACTGTTGCTAAAGGTGGGTTTGCTTTGTGGTTTTCAAAGAAATTTGCTGTGAGAGTGCTTACATGAAATCACAAGAACCACATGACTTTGATATCATTGTAATGCTCTCTATCACACCGATATGAATAATCTTTTGTCCCCTTTCAATAGCATGCAGCAGAAAGGAAAACCACACTGCCCCACTCATGCCAGGTAAAAAGAGGCATTTCCTCTCAGAAAACCCAGATCTGTTTATGAGGGCTGATGATTCACTAACTATATATTGTATTGCTTCCTCTGTGCCTGTCACTCCTGCTGTGTGACCTTCCAAACAAACACATCACGGCTTATGATTGCTTCCCTCTTCTCCTGCTCTGAAAGCGGAAAGCCTCTGGCACACCTTTGTGTAAGTGACGGGCGAGCAGCAGCAGGTAGCGCAGGTTTCTTCCTCATTCCAGCAGCAGCTTAATGATGTTTACTTCTTTATTCTCGCACTGGGAATGCCAGCTGGCAGCACTTGTGTGTCTCCTCTACATCATTGTGTTTTTGGGGAGTTTTCCAAGTTCCTTCCAGTTTAGAGTGAGTAGATATAAAATACAGAAATTTCAATAAAAGGAAATGAAATGAGAAGGGGAGCTGTTGGACTGGAGTATTGGGACTCCATCAAAAGGGCTTGTTGCATGAATCAGTTGTAAACAATGACTTCATCGGATTCTCCTGCACTTTGGAAACCAGTGATCTGTTTGGCTGCGACTTGAAGAGATGATTCATGGTGAACTAAAGCTAGGAACTTTCAGATTGTGTCAACTTTGGCACCCTGTGGACCAAACAGATACACAGGGTGCTTTTCTTATCCTGTCTTTTTTAAATGCTTAGGGAGTTCCTTTTTACAAATAATAATGTCATCCTGATGACTTTTGACAGTCAAATGTAAAAAAAAAACAACAAGAAAAAGGCTGATACCTACCCCCTCACCACAGAAAAGGATTGGTGCCACTGGGAAATAAAGGGGGGGGGGGGCAATGTCTCGATTATTCTGGGGGAAAAAAGTCAGAATTCGAATTTCTTATAACTCTGATTTTCATCGGAGAATTTGGATTTTACTCTCAGAATTCTGACTTTATCTCAGAATTCTAACTTTAATCTCATAATTCTGACTTTAAAGTCAAAGTTCTAATTAACATTGTAATTATGACTCTAAACTTCTGACTTAATCTCTTAATTCTGATTTTAAACTCAGAATTCAGATAATAATGTCATTTAATCTCATAATTTTGATTTTAAGATCACAATTCTGACTTTAGACTTGGAATTCTGATTTAAATCTCATTTAATCTTATAATTCTGGTTTTACACTCAAAATTCTGACTTTAATCTCATAATCCTGACTCTAGACTCAGAACTCTAACTTTAATCTCATAATTCTGATTTTAAAGTCAAAGTTCTGACTTAATGTTGTAATTCTGATTTCTGACTTTAATCTCATTTAATCTAAGAACTCTGACTTTAAACTCAGAATTCTGACTTCAATCTAAGGATTCTGACTTTGAACTCAGAATTCTGACTTTAAATTTAAAGTTCTGACTTTAATCTGAATTAATCTCTTAATTCTGACTTTAAACTCAGAATTTTGACATTAATCTCAGATTTCTGACTTTAAACTTGGAATTCTGACTTTCATTCCAGAATGATAACATAACATTATAATAATTTTAAAAAATGATATTGGAACTTTTTTTCTTTCCTATGGCCCTTATTCTCTTCCGTACCTTCCACCTGCTTCAGGCATTAAAAATGAAGATATAACAATACCAAATCTTGTTTGAGATGGTCTTGTTTGTGATTGGATATCATGAAATGAAAGCATTGGAGTGATTTTCAGTCCATCTAATAAAGGTCCAAATTCCTCATCAGAGCTTTAAAGACCCACGCCAATGAAAATCATGTTTTTCTTGTTGTCTTTGTGTTCATATGGCATTTTTCTGATAGAACAGAACATATCATGAGAAAAGTAAGCGTGAAATTGCATTTCTGAGTATTTCTGAAATCAAATCACTGTGAACCTCACACAGACAAAGTGAGATTTCCTATGTCACAACTCCAAGCTCCGCCCCCCGGAGCCCCACTATGCAGGCCAGACTTGGAGAAGTAGAGAGGACGATCGCGAAACAAGCGTGTGCGTTAGCAGATTGTAATGCTCGTAAGAAAGCTAATTATGATATTAACTTTCATCATGTTTCTGTGACAATGATTCTATTAGGAAATTTACAGTAATATCTCGTCTTCTGCGACAGAACACGACAACACCTGGGACACAAAGTGAAACAGAGATTGATGAATAGAAACAATGATCAATTTTAATTAAAAACATTCTATTTTTAATCAAAATATGCAACTGTGTTTCCGATGTTCCATCCTTTTCCCACATGAATATGTGTACTTGTGTCTTTAACATATATGAACACCCACTCACACACCTTCACACACACACCCACACACACACTCTCACACAGGCTGACTACTTGATGTTATTATAATGATTGCTCTGATTGTAGAGTGAAGCAGAGTGGAGTAAAGCTCAGTAAAACACCGTCATGCCCCCTGACTGAAACCTCTCCGATCCCACTGAGGACACATCTGTCTGCTTTCATTAACGCTCTGAGCACACTGACTGAATCCTAGTGTAAAGAAGTGACCTAGATTTGATTCACGTATGATCACTATTGATTGCTGAGTATCTTATTCTTCTCTATATAATCTTCACAGGTTGAACGTGTGTGTGTGTTTGATGTGAAATCAATGTTTAACCCTGTAGCCTCATGAACAGAATCCTGATGACCTTTGTCAGAGAGCAGAACTCGAGTGGAAACACAGAAACATTCGAAAAATCAGTGTCCGCAAAGAAAACCCTTTTAACCATCCGACAAAGTTCTGTTTTTGTTGTTTGGTTTCCATAGGAACAGTTAAAAAGACTTTAAAAAGGTCAAAATTTCGTGTAAAACCAATAGGAAGAGTCTTTTTCTCGATTCAAGAGTCCTCTCGCTCCAGCAGACAGCCAACAAAGAAAGACCTTCTCGCAAAAGCAGCTTGCAGAGAAGAGAGAAATCAAGAGAAGACAGAAGAGATGAGAGCAAGAGAAGAGAGAAGAAGAGAAGAAGAAGAGTGCAAATAAAAAGAGAAAAGTCAGAATTAATTTTCATCCTTTTTTCTCCCTTGTTATCCTCCTTTTATTCTCCGAGCCTGCTGGGATTCCCATCTCCAGGCTGCCAGGATGAGGGGAGTCAGTTCTCCACAGGCGTCGGTTGCTGCGACAGTGCAGCCACTCCCTCCTCCGGCCCACAGGCCTCTGGTGTGTGTCCTGCTGTAGACAGTGGCTCTGGCTGTGGCGGCTGGCTGAGGATCACCTGAACCACATAGTCCCTGGAGATGTTGAGTTGGTCCAAGCGCAGCCTGTCTGTGAGAGGCCGACCTGAGAAAAACCAGCGCTGGGTTGGGGCGGGCACGCCCTCTTGACTCTGCAGACGGCGCTTCATCATGCCCACGGTGTCCGAGGAACGGACAGCGAGCCGCAGGTCGCGACCTGTGGAGAGCCTGAGCCTCAGCTGGCACTCCCCTCCTGACCCGGGGTCACTGGCACTGCCCGTGGACGGATCAGCAGCACCAGAGTCTGGATCTGATCCGTCAGGCTCCTCGGAGCGCTCCTCAATCATGTTGACAGGGGGAGAGAGGCAGTAGACTGGCAGCTGGTATCGATTCCCCAGCTCATCATAACATTCAGTCAGAGCGCCTAGAAGAGCGGAAAAAAGGGTCAATGCCTGGATATAAAAATATACATGTTTGACGGTGATATCGGCCTAAAGAGGGCTGATGCCAAAATGGTGTCGTTTACATCAAAATGTCACTAATCAGTCAGATTAATCAGTCGACCCATTATTCTGTCTCTCTAAAGCTTTTGGGTAGAGATGCACCAATGTATCGGATAACCATCAGTATAGGCCAATGTCTGCGCTGTTGATGGACATCAGCCCATCGGTTAATGAAGTGGAATGCACCGATGACAGTAGCCGATGAGCATGTCTACTCATGAACCTTTTGGTGGCAGGCTAGTAAAGCTACTGCTAACAATGTAAACACATTATTTTTTGGGCAGAAGGAGTCACATGTTAGACAGTGCAACGTGCCATGCGCACACGTGTACAATTTGTTTACGGTCTAACAAAATGTCAGCAGTTTGGGATCATTACATGACCTCTGAAAAACATGCAGTTTGAAAGATGTTCTTGTGAAATTTCAAGAGAAGGGACTACGAGCAGAAATTCAAATACATCAAGTCTCATCGGTCATTTCAATAATAGACACGAAGCAGTTTAAAGTGATTTTTTAAGAGCCGATAAACAGCGGAAAGTTGACGCAAACCACTTGCAAGACTCAAGGTCCTCACACACACAAGGTCCTCCTGTCCATTTGTATTATTGAATCTGTGCTTCCCTTATTTTATGTTTTGATTAAAAAAATTTCAATTTAGGTAAGGTAATTAATAAGTTCAAACAAATGAAATAAGCAACATTTTTAAAAGAACAAAAAACAGCAGTATCGGCAACCAGTGCATCACTACTTTTGGGACATATTTACTTTCCTGCCAACAGATCGATACCCCAAAGAGGTTTTTTACAATGAACTGTGATGACATAAACATCCATCACGTGCAAAAGCAACCCACCCAAACCACTCATTTAGAGAGAACATTCGGTCTCCGCTCGACTCCACAAGGTCAACTGAAACTGGGAAGTTCCACAAACAACCATTAAAGTGAAATTTTCACGTTAACCTCCAACAAATCTCTCTTCCAAATAACAAAGCCAAAACCTGACCTTCATATCACGTTTTCTATAAAAAGCAGAAATGGAGAAATGAGAGTCAGGCTGAATGGAGAACAAAGACTGGGAGGAACAATCTTAGAGCAAAAGCAGGAGAAAGGGAACGCCGTGTGTCAGTGTGGGTGTGACATTTATAGACTTTATGTCAGTGTGTGTCGACTGTGATTCACGGAGTAGATGGTTGGTGGACGGAGGGGGAAAAAGACGCACAGAGGAGACAAACAAACGTTAATATAGTGGTATCTAGAAAGAGAGGGGGCCCCCGTCCTCAAGGGGATTTTCGAACATGCATCCTGCACCGTAGTTACACTTCACATCCCTAAACACTGTTGGATTTCTAACGCACAAACTTAGCTCAGGGTCAAGTGGATTTAGAAAGACGTCATTGCCCATGTGGACCAGGATCTAAACAAGGTTCCTGGACTTCATTTTGCCCCAAAATCACTCTGCCGCATAAGCAGTACTTTCACAAGTTAGAGAGACTTTGGAGGATATGAGGAGACTGGTGAGGAATTATTTGTAGAATTCGATTTTTTTTATCAGTTGGGCAGAAATTTGATTCACTTGGGGCACAGCTTAGTTGAAGGACGCACCAGTTCCTTTTGCCTGGACTCTGTAACCCCCAATTTCCACTGCGTCCGGGACGGCTCTGCTACGGAATGGCTGCAATTTTCTCAGTCCGCCAATTCCTACCAGATGCATTTGTGAGGCGAATTTCGTAGCGGATTTCAAAAAGCGGGAATCGAGAGAACTCACAAGAACTCGCGGAATCACATGCGATCTCACGATAATGAGTTATCTCTATAAAGACAGCCACATATCCATATAAGCAGTAGATTGTGTCCTTCCAGAGGAGGAAATCCACTTCTAGACTTCTAGAATCAGCATCTCCTCATCCATGGTGTCATCGTCTGAAAACCTTTGACTTGTTGGCCCCCACCCATTTGCATGTTGTGAAATACAATCCGCCTGATACTCGTAGTGTTTTATTTTGAAAAGAAGACAGATATTTTATTTTGTGTCTGTGCCCAACTTCCTTTCCAGCACAGGCTAATCTGTGCTGAATTTATGTGGCATGCTGCAGCGCCCAGAATAAAAAAGAATCCTGGCAATCGGCTACATATTCGATCGCCAGGATTCGCAGCGCAACAGAAAGTAGCCGATGGAATTCAACACTTTAACTCGAATGGAAACAATCAGCTGAGATCGGGGAATACGGTTTTATGGTTGGTATTCCGGATGCGGTGGAAATTCGGGTCAAGTCAGCCCCTGTTTGATCCTTTTGCCTGTTTCTCAGCTGATCAAAAGCGAGGTTGGGTTTGCGTTTCTAATGCACCAACTGCCGTCAATGGGCTTGAAAAGAGCTGGAGAGTACGTCACGTTTAAGACGGCCCATGACCTAATAAAAGTGTTATATAAAGGTTGTTTTTGTTGTTTTTCAGAAGAATAACATTTCAGTTTAAATATGACCAACTCATCCCTGATGTTTTCTCTGTTTTTGAAACCTCTGAGATGACGTCACCCTGCAGAAACTCAAAAACTTGTTTTAAAAGATTTAAGACCCGGGTGAGAACTTTCCCAACAAAAGCAAAAAGTTCAACTCCCCAGCTTGTCTTTTCTTTTACACAATGTTTTCAAAGGTCACCGCATCGCGCCTGTGTTGTTATATGAGTCTGGAGGCAGCATGAGCTGCTCGACAATGAGTTTTTGTGGCGAGGGGAGACAGAGATGAGTCAGCAGAGACCACAGGATGTTGTTCTCTGCTCTGAAAATGACAGCTGCTGTGGTCAAGGTGAGGACGGAGAGGCTACACATAGCCTCAGGACTTGGTCGAGTGAAAGTGAGAGCAGAGGAGATGGGGAAAGACAAGAATAGAGGTTTCTACTTTCATAATTTCTCAACTAAACTACGTAGTAACAAGTCCTCTGCACCTTTCAACAACAGCTGAAAACCGCATGGTGTGAAAGGTTGCACAAAAATAGACAAACAACCGGCTTCAGATATTTCACATTAACCCGTCTGCATACATGGGTGATTTTGAAGATTTCATCCAAACTGTACAGGTGTTTGTTTTGAATAAGTGTTGTATAAACAGTGATGTTGTATTGAATTGATATAGAGCTTAAGTAGAGGACGCCAGCGAGAATAAGTCAGATCTTTTCTCGTTTGTTTTTAACTGTAGCAGCAGAATTTACTTCAGTCATTTCATAACCACTTAAACACTTCTCACACATGAGGGGAAGAATACATTACAGGTGTGTTTTCCCCCCTGAAACTACTACTGTATACTTAAGGTTAACTGTAACTGTGGCGCAGTTCTCTAAATGGCATGATTGAGATGTCTCACTGTGGAATTACCCCCTATGAAGCAGAAACCACGACAGCATCCCTGAGTGGTGGGCAGTCTTGGTTAGACCCTCAGCGTCACTTCACTGCTCTCTGTACGCAAGTATTGTGTAACTGTAGATCCTGTGTTTCATTAGCTTGCTCTGTTTCCCTTAAAGCTGGGAAGTCCTAGTCAACTGGTCAAATTATTGGTCCTAACCATAGACTGTATATAGAATGGACAGCATCTGCCTCCTCACTGGGTGAAGCTACTACAAGAACAGCACCCTCTGGTGACGGGCTGCAGTATAGGTCATAAATCCCGCCTTTTCCAGCAATCTCTATGGAGCTGTGGACAAACTTTAGAAATTAATTACACAGAACATAAATGTTACTCCCCCCTGGTTGTGATGTTGACATGTAGTTACTGTAAGACTGAAGAAAAATCCCGGAAATACCAAGAGCTTTTTGGCTTCAAATCCGTATACTGGCAGGAGGCAGAACCAAGTTGTTCATAGTATATACAGTCTATGGTTATAACGTGCTGAGTGGACCAAAATTCTGATTGGTCGACTTGTTTTTTTTTCCGCTTGAATTAACTGTTTATGGTAAATTTTATCAGGAGGAACGTACCGAGTGCTCATGGGGATGTTTTCCTGTCTCAGAACACCCCCCTTGTTTTCACCATTTTGGATTCGCCCAACCCACTGGAGACCGGGCTGGAGACAGGAAGATTAAAGAGCGTCCACGTAAATCAACGTCCGGTGGTTTGCTGATATTTATTTTTATTTTGAGCGTTTCAACTTTCATGTGAGTCCTCCTTTAACATCCATGTCAAAGATGTCGGCAGTGTGGCAGAATTTTACCAAAATAGATGGCGGGAAATAGATGTTTATTTGCCTCCTTGTGCTGTAATCAGTATAATTTCACCTCGCCAAGCCGCACTCTGCCGAGCCGCATCCTCACCCACCGCAGAAGGGTTTGCCGTCAGTCGCTCGATATAAACAGTGGATTCAGATTTTCCAATCCCTTAAATTTTTAATTGGATCAAGAAATTTTGCACATGTAAACATGACTACCCAATAGGCCCCGTTTCTAACAGGTTTGGTGCAAATCCTGTTTTCTCTGTCCAGTGGCATCTAAATTATGACAGATTTTACGTTTTATAGCATTTTCTGCAAAAATGTAAACTGAAAACAAACCAATAAAAAAAGTCAAAACAACAATAACAATAACAATAGTCAAGAAAAAATAATAATGTGAACCCAACATGTCCGAAAAAGATCACGCTTTTTTAAAACACACCCCTTCTCTGCTATTCAATTTACAATCAAACACCCCAACGTACATATTTACAAAAAATAGAAAATAAAAAAAGTAGATAAATCATTTAAGAAAACACCTGATTGTCAAAGCCGGGTTAATTCCAGGATGACTGAACCAACTCAAGTTAGCTGTTCTGTAACCGAAAACCCCACCTGAGGGTCACTCTCCTCTGAGTTCAGAGTGTATTGAACCTCCTGAACATGAAGAGGCACATAATGGCGCAACTCTGAGAACACCAACAAGTTAATCCACATGTTGCTCTTAAGAGGCAGTTCTAAGCTGGAGATCGCTGATGCAATTAGAGAAAGTGATAACCGTCATTATGTGTGTTTTATTATTGGGGTGTTGTGAGGACAGCGAGGACTGTGATAAAATAAACCCTTAATAATATTTCAGAGTTTTTAGAAAAGGTTTGAGCATTCAAGAAGACTTTAGAGGATTCAACAAATCTGCTATTTGAACAACACAAACTTAACTAACGTCACCTTTGTCAGAGAAATCCTCCTCACTCTGGTGATCCCCTGACTTTTCATTTACTCCTTCACATTTTCACTTAATGGTGGCATTTCTCTAATTTTTGTATGAACGGCTGTGAAATCTGGAATTTTTTACTTTTATATTCCTCTTAAGACAAACTACTTCTCACTCTGGGGTTCCCCCGGCTCTTCTCCATGGTTAATCAAAGGAGCTTTTCAACACACTAAGCTAAATTACTGAGTCTTAAAACCTTTGCAGCAGGTTGACATTAGCATGTTAGCCTCATCACTGTCTGTATGTTAGGATGATGGACACTGTGTGAATCCACAGCCTCATAGGGGGGCTAGCATGGCCTTGTTTTTTGTTGAACTGTACAAAATGAGTCGTATCCTTTGTTTTCTTGTGCTGCAGACAAATTCTTCTTCCATTTCCTTCCACTTTCTCCACAGATGCTCACAGCCAACCATACAGACAAAAACAAAAGCAAAAAATCACTCTCTTCATAGACTTGTTAGTGTTTCTGGAAGTAACACTTGGTGGTAGGTGTGATATAACATGTCACATCTACCACCAAGAGACACACGTGAGGAAGGTGGAAGTTTACGCCGAAACATGTCAAGGAACGTGAAAAAGATGATAAGGAAAAAGGGAAACTATTTCTGATGTGGTTGCTGTTTGTGCTGGGGAACTGGACGAGTGTGACATGACATCAGACCTGGGGAATCCACAGCTGGAGCTCAGCAGGATCTGATCTGAACCAGACAGAATACAAAACGGACAATCACGACACACGGCACAAACAGGCATAAACAGGCATGAAAGAGAGTGTCTGTTGGTGTCCAAATCTCACTCAAACAGGACTCTTCAGTTCACCACATCCTACTGCAGAGTGGGTAATGAGAGGGTTTCCTACCAGATCGTAAAATGCCTCTGGTTAGAACAATTTGTCCTGACATATAAACCTAGATTCACAAACTGTCCAGATTTCCAAGCACTGTTCAATCTAGGGATGAAGCGGTAACCGGTGTAACGGTACATCGTGATGAAAATGTTGATGATAACGATTACAGTTTTCATTTAAAAAAACGGTTTGAGTGTTTTAAGGAATCAGCTGTCGGACAGAGGACAATAACTTGCTAATTAATGAGCTGTGTGGTCGAAGACGATAACTCGCTAATGCTAATACTCGGCGTGGAAAAATCCTCAGTGCACCTTATAATCCGGTGCGCCTAATGTATGAATTCTGGTTGTGCTTACTGACCTCGAACCGATTTTATGTGGTACACAGCGCTCAAAAATCTGTCAGAATGTTTTATTACGACTTCGATGAGCTACAAAGTCGCACAGCCTGATGGCTTGTCGTAGCGCTGCAGCGATTGTCGCCTCACAGAGTTATCGAATGAGTTAAATAAAGTTGGACTTATCTGACTATTTTGTTTGGCTTCTGTGCTTTATAATCCGGTGCGCCTTATGTATGGAAATAGACGCGAATAGACGCGTTCATTGATGGTGTGTTTTATAATCCAGTGCACCTTATAGTGCGAAAAATACGGTATACAGTCACATATGAGTCCAAGGTAGAGCCACATATGAAAAAACTACATTTTTAAGGTGTGGCGGCTTTTATTTAGCCGTGGTAATGCACCACGATCAACTGCATATAGGGGAAACCCTGTTAATCATCCCAGCTCTATCCAAGTCTCCTGAAGTATCCACGCAGACGCACTGTGTAGCCTAAAATTTGCGTTTAAACTTTCTATTGAGTTTGGAATGGAATCATGGCAGAAGGAGGAGGAGACGACAGTGCCAAAGACATCCATCAGCCCTCCAAGAGGACCAAGTTGGTAGTATGGGCACATTTTGGGTTTTGTAGGAATGTTGAGGGAACGCTTATTTGAAGACAGTAATCCTGTCTAGATATGATGAAACAATGAAAACAAGGCAACGTTTTAGCGCTAGTTAAAAGCCTAGAAAATGCTGTAATCAATGCCTTTGAATACATTTTTAAAAATACAGCGATTTTAACGAAAACCATGATTATTTTGGTCACAATAACCATGAGGTAGTACTTCAATACCATTACACCCCTTCATTTAATCCCTGTGAGCATTTTAAATACAGTAAGAAAATACATTTTATTTATGACGCGCTTTTACAGGTGCTCAAAGACGCCTTACGAATAAAAAGAAGAAAATAAAATGAAAAAATTTAAAAAGATTTTAAAAAAAAAATTTAAATACAGAAAATTATGAATGATGTAAAAGGTTAAAAAAGACACAATAAAAGAACAGATTCACAGGTTTAAAGCCAAGTTAAAAAGATGAGTTTTTAAGAGTGTGGGGGTCGGTACAGTCTCGGTGGGGGCGGCAACAGAGAAGGCTCTGTCTTAAGTATTATCTACTTTTGCCTAATTCTCCAACCTTAAACACTATATTACATTTCTAAGTTCACTCATGTTCCATTTGCCAAAAAAGTGGAAAAAGTGTTTCTTCGGGCCTATACTGCATCCAGCCTCCAGGGGGAGCCTCGAAAGCACTGGCATCATTTGGGACAGCTTTGCTCTGTCCATTGTCTATGGTGCAGACTCAGTATTGAAGGGTTTAACGACCTGTATTCACTCCACACTCAGGGGTTTTGGATGGCTCTCAATGTGGCAGACAGTCCACTCTATCACACAAACAGAGCGGCAGAGAGGGTTTAGAGAGGGGTTTGAGTATAAAAAGGCCCAGGTTTGGTCCCATGTAACTCTACGTGCTTAAACAGCAACTTTTTCAGACTTTCCTAACACGGGATCAGTCCTCAGAAGAGTGGCAGTATCTCAAGGTGTAAAAACTTGAGAACATGATGATGAAAATGAAAACACTTCAACTAGGACTTTTGGTTTTCATCGGGACACTAACAAAGGTCTGCTCAGTGGAAGAAAAAGGGAAAATCTCATCGGAGGGGAGGATAATCTGTTCACAGCCTTGGCTATTGGTCTCAGGTAAACAAAACCCAAAGATAGACAGGTTTTCAAACAAAGTGGGCCCATCATCTCAGCCTGTTTTGGACCTTCACTTTCACTGCTGACCTTAAAAAAAAACCCATTCAAAGTCTGGAGAAAAAGGGGAATACTGAGTACCATCACAGGGAAAAATGTACCACTACCTAAAAAAACCTCACAAAAAGTAATAATCTTTCCAATTATGATTTATGACTCTGACAGGATATGAAAGAGAAATCAACAGAGTAATGCTGATCCACATTTATACAGCATACCTAAGCAGCTGATGTGGAGACACTGGAGTTCCTGAATCTGAGCCCTTTCAGTTTTATTGATCCGTTCACTGTGGAGGCTCTCTTAAAAGTGTCAGGAGGCACTATCTTTGGTCGGCTTATGTGAGTGATTGCTTCATTTAGTTCTACTTTGAGAAGTCTGAGGACACACTCCGACCTTTTCATATATTATTCATCGATTCCCTCCACAGAATATAGCTGAAGTCTGAACTCTAAAATGCGGTCACTGAAATACATCCAGAGGTTCAGCATCTTTCATCACTTTTCACAGAACACAGTCAGGGCTTACAGTCGCTCAGTTTCAAATGTTCCTTTAAGTAAAAGCTAAAAAAAAAAGACAGGAGAGGCTGCTGAGATGAATAACACGTTCAGCAAAGTTGACTTCCTGTTTCTGTAACTATATGATACGAGAAACCGCAAGGATGTATACGAGACTGTCTGAAGCTGCTCTGCAACACCCTCCAGCCTCTAAGCTCTGACCCTGTCGACACACGTGAGTTATTGTCCCTGAAAACCTCAGAGACCAAACACCTCTTTATGCCTTCATCTGTCAAACATGTGAAGCTAAATCAAGAAATCGAACAGTATGTACATCAGGGCACACCATTTGTACACAAACTTGATTCACTGCCATTTTAACTTGAGGCATGAGAAAAAATGTTCAAAGATGTGATCCAAGTATCAAGACCTCCAAACGTCAAATACAGTGATTTTACTGTTGTTTTAAAGTTATGTATATTTCACCTACAGACCAAGTTTCATCGAAGCAAAACCAAACCAAAGTGCAGTAAATAAATTCATTCATCTATGATTATATTTCCCTTTGGGAATCGATCAAGTTCTTCTTATAGTTTTGTCGGCTTAAATTCAGGTCTTCTAATATCTTTAAGTACTTCTGTCGTATTGTGCTGTTGGTCCATAGACTGTATACAGAATGGATGCCGTCTGAACAGCACCCTCTGGTGACAGGCTGCAGTATAGGTCATAAATCCCGCCTCCCCCAGCAATCCCTATGGAGCTGTGGACAAACTTTAGAAATTTATTACACAGAATATAAATGTTTCTCCCCCCTGGTTGTGATGTTGACATGTAGTTATTGTAAGACTGGTTTGTGCTCAAGTCCTCTTTTTTTCTGTGCAGCTCCATTTTTAAAAGTTATTAGAGGGTTCATGTTTTCTATGATTGACACCTGATACAGCCTATGGGCGTAGGAACATTGCGTAGCTCACCCAAGGGATACGTTGTTTGAGCCGAGCGTCATCACAGCGACTCTTCCGCCGAATGTGTACAATGCTACTGTGCAAGTGGTGGTTCAAGGAAGTGGAGAAAAAACACGGACATACCGAGAGCAATTCGGCTTCAAATTCGTATACTGGCAGAAGGCGAAGCCAAGTTGTCCATAGTATACAGTCTATGTTCTGGTCTGGTTAAACATATTTACTCCCATCCTAAAAAGCAGATGGTGAAAAAGCTCAAAGTAAACAAATTTGGCTTTTTTTGACTTTGTAAAATCACTCTACATATTAGATACTCCAACTCCTCGGTGATTGTTTTGGATCAACATTGTGCTTCGATCTTTATACATATTCAGCTCTACAACAGCACAAAAGACGACTTTTCACACCTACTGTTTTGAGTAAGGAATTTTTTGTTTAGGTTGATTTTGGCGCCCCCTGTGGACAAAGTTACACCTCTCATTTCTTTGCTAATTTAGTGTAAATGAGTAAATCATGTTTTCTCTTTAAAGTGGGATGTTTCACTCGCTGTTTTTCATTGTTGGGAAAATTGCCTTTTTTCCAGAAAGCTATAAATACGGTAGCATGATGCGTCATGGTCACAGACGTTAAACACTAAAACTTCGAAATTGTCAAAGTTTTTGCTGATGGTCTCGTTAACTGGAGGTTTCAGTCTGTTTCAACTCCTCACGTCACTTTTTACAGTGTGAACGACCTCAGTCCATCTGCTTTAAATTTCTTCGCTTTCTTTTGTTTCCGACTCTTGCTTGATCGCCCTTGGAGTGAACCGCTGTCTCCTCTGTACTTTCATCATAGAAGAGCTAATTCAAGATCTCCGAATCTTAAAAACAAAGTTCAGAGACAAAATGAGATCTGAAGCCTTGGAGGAGACTCGAGCTGTAATTGGACTCTCCACAGCTGACTTCCAGAGTTTTATGAACTCTTGAGAGCTTCAGGAGAGGAAAACTGAATTCTTTCTGAAATGAAGTCCACCCAGCTGTGTTTCATGGAGGGCTAACCAAACACTATCTCCAAAATCTGCTAGTGTATCAGTGTGTGTTACCATGCGGCAGTGTGATGCTGGCCCCATCCAGGATGGCCTGAGCCAGCAGGTGGTCATTGCTCTCAAAGGCGCTGGCTGCAGCCCGCAGCGCATCCCAGATCTCCTTCCGGCCCTCGAATGCTGGCGCCGTATCCCAGAACTCATCTCTCTTGCTGCGCAGCTGGCCTTCAGTCATCGGGTAGTCACTTTTCCATTTAGGCCGCTCTCTCTTCAGGGGCTGGTTACGCCCTAGAGCCACTAAAAGGGAGGAGAAGTGAGAGAGAGAGTGAGGAGAGATGGAGAGGGAAGAAAGGGTGAAGAAAACAGGAAGGTGGGAGGAAGGACAAAGAAGAGAAAACACATTTGAAAAAGGTGCAGTAGATAGAAAGATGGAAATAAAGAAAAGAAATCAGGAGGAGAGCATAATGCAGCGTGAGTGAAGGTGTGAGAACAAAGAATTAAAATAAGAAGAAAGGATGGAGAGTGTAAGAGAAAGAGGGAAAAGGAAGAGTTAATATTGATCTGAAAAATACATGAAGCCGAGCAGAAGCTTCAAATGTTTTGTTGCTAAACTCGTTGATAAAGGTTACGGTTCGAGCATCTCGCCGCGCTCCATCTGCAGCAGAACGGCTGATAAATAATAACACCATCTGGATCAACACTGAAGGGGCGGGGGGGACAGGTACGGGACAGTGTGTGTGTGTGTGTGTGTGTGTGTGTGTGTGTGTGTGTGTGTGTGATGGAAAAGAGAGCGGGATGACAGATCAAGGTGTTGTGTTACACCTGCTGCTGGTACACATGTGCTCTGATGATCACACCGCACCGTTCAACAACATCAGCCTTCAATGGGCTGTTTGCAGTAAACAAGACCTCGGCTCAGACTGACAGACTGTTAACATGCCGAGTACAGACGACAAGACTTTAATCGAGTTGTTGGGAGTAATCTCTATACAATAATCATATCATCCAAGAGAGGATGAAACTTCAGTGGGGAGAGCTGTGTGTCTGTTTTCTGACTATGAAAGGGATATTCCGGCGTAAATTTAAGTTATGGTCAAACACACCGAGTTAGACACCCCCTCGAGAGATGAATGTTTCCTACCGCTTACTTCTCTAGTTATACCAACTTTAGTAACGACCACACGATAGCAATACAAAGCGGTCTACATCTCCACATGCAAACCTCAACTCAAGTTTATTTATATACTTTAAATACAACCAAAGCTGACACAAAGTGCTGTACAAAATAACATAAAAACAACATTAAATAGTTGTTTTAAAATATAATTAAAAGCAATAAAAAAGGAATAGCCAAGGAATAAAAGAGGGTTTTTAGACGGGTTTTAAAAATGGTCAGTGAGGGACCTTGCCTAATGTGGAGAGGTAGGTCATTCACCTCAACCTCAACCAAAACGCCACTCTATAGCCACAAATAATGCTCAGAACAGCACCTAACTTAATCAACAGGACAGATAGGGTCCCAGCCATAGTACTAGACACCAAACATCTTTTTAACTTTGCCTGATTTCTTTAGCAAAGAGACTAAACACAACTCACCTACTCTCTTCCAGCAGCCGCTTGTTTGTGGGGGAGCCCTGGCGAGTCGATCACCGTAATATCATCATATTAATCATTTTGCACTGCAGACGTGGTAGTTCTTCTGCCTTAGCGTCTCGGTCTGACTGCATTTCTGTGAAGTAGTTATCATAAATGTTCTTCCTTGAGCTGCGAAACTCAGCTGCTCTCAGTGATCAACTCGTCAGGGCTCCCCCACAAACAAGCGGCTGCTGGAGGAAGGTGGGTGAGTTGTGTTTAGTCTCTTTGCTAAAGAAATCAGGCAAAGTTAAACAGATGTTTGATGGCTAGTCCTATGGCTGGGACCCTATATGTACTGTTGATGAAGTTAGGTGCTGTTCTGAGCATTATTTGTGGCTATAGAGTGGTGTTTTGGTTGTGGTTTGTGCATGGAGAAGTAGACCGCTGTGTATTGCTATCGTGCGGTCGTTACCAAAGTTGGTATAACTAGAGAAGCAAGCAGTCGACAACATTCATCTCTTGAGGGGTTGTCTAACCTGGTGTTGACCATAATATCCCAGACTAGTTGATTAGTCTGTATTTAAATTTCCATTTAAAGAACAGTTGCTTTGAAACTTCTCTAGTTTGGATCCACACCAGGATACAGGTGAGGCTTTAAACATTTTTTTTATCTAAATAAAATAAAGGTAAATATAAATATGCTGTCTGACATGCAGTGACCCGCTCTAAGTTTCTGCCTGAATTCCAGTGTGTATAATTCAACGTTATGGCTGACTTGACTCCTTGGCTGTGTGACTTACATTAGCCTACTTTCCGGCTCATCTGTCAGCTCATAATTTAATAATTTACTTTACACAATAGCCTACTTTCCTGTCTTTCAGTAATTCCTGATAATCCTCAGGGAAGCATTTGGGCCAGAGTGTGTTAAAGATGATTCTTCACTCAAACATGTCTACGCTTTAAGGAGGTAAATCCAATTATTACATCTGCTTTGGTGAAAACAGATACATGTGCTCAAGTGTAACTGCTCCGTCTCTGTCACCATCGGGTAAAGTGTCAGGTATCAGCTGCCTATCTGAATCTGTTTTAACACAGCAGAGCTTCGTGTTAACAAAAACACACACATGTCTACTTCTTTTCAACACAAGAATTGCTGAAACCTGTTTTTGTGGCATCCACAAAAAGAGTCAAATATTCAGACAGAAGTGGAGTCAAACAGGAAATGATTAATCAAACTGTGTTATATCTGAGCATCTCAAAGTGCTCAGTCTCAACCCCTCGACCTGGCTTCACCTCCCTCCCCGTGATTGAAATAGCTCTCTTCTTAGTGCTCCTCTCTCTTCAGACATCCAGGAAACTTCAGTTCAAAGTTATCTCAGCAGCGCAGCCTGATAGAAATCTCTGCAGAAGAAGCCCCACAGACAGGACAGGAAGATGGGCGCTATCTACACCCTACATCCACAATGTAATTCCATGCATATGCGGCTCTCTCTATCCTTCTCCCTCTCTCTATGGCAGATACAAAGTTTGTGTTTACAATACCACCATGGCTTCACATCATAAAGCACGCTCACAAATACAAAAAAAAGAAGCTACTTCGGGTCCAGTATCTCGCCAAAAAGTACTTTGACATGCAGGGCTCTACCCCTGAGCCCCAAAGTCATAGTACTTGTTACATCCCATAAGTATTAAGGGTGGGAATCACTAGTGGCCCCACGATACGATATTATCACGATACTTGGGCCACGGTACAATATTATCACGATACTTGGGCCACGATACGATATTATCACGATACTTGGGCCACAGTACGATATTATCACGAAACCTGGGTCACGATACGATATAATTGCCCCACTTTCAAAAAGCAGTTGAAAACCCATTTTTTTGCACTTGCCTTTGTAACCAGAACTTTGGAAATGTAGTTATTGTACCATTAGGACCAAAATTAACAATTTAAGTAAAATATATAAATTCTGAGTTCCAAAGGTTTTCTTCCCCCTGGTAGTTCATGTGTTTGCAGAACTACAGGCTGCAGATTCTGGACCGGATTTCAGGGACTGCAATTCTAGGATCTTTGTTGTTTGTGATGGCACCATTTAGTGCAATAAATCCTCACACCAGAGGACCTCCGTTTTACTCTGGAATATTACTATTTATGGTGCCTTTCTCTAACTTTCACTTGTGCAAGGACATAATCGTTCTAGAGATGCAGTCTCGTGGTTGAGATCCTGAAACTGCAAACACTGACTCTACAGACACTAAATATTGGTCTATTATTGCTATTTGAGTGGTCCTATCACCAACTTAAGTCTTCTCATGGTGGCCCTAGTGGTACTAATAATGTGTTTTCATTTCAGGGGAATTTCAAGTCTTTATTCATCAGACATCTTGCAGCATTTTTATGTGATAGATTTGCATTAAAATTATCTCTATTTGTGAGCAATGGATTAGGCAATATATTGTATTGAGATTGCAATTTTCACCCTCCTTTTTTTGAACATTTTGCACGTCCATGATTCAGAAATTGAAATAAGTTACGAAGGACTTTTTTTAAATATTCTAATAAATTGGTAAGCCAAAACTAAACCAACAAAAAATCCCAAAATCTGGTCTTGACTACAATTTTGTCTGCTGCCCTTTAAATAAAATATGCCAAACTTATTGTCTGGTTTTGTACTTTGTTGTCCGACTGTGGACATGCCGTTTCCGGCTCTCAAGCTTGTAACTGAATTAGCCTGCAATAAACATAAAGCAAAAGCACCCTTTAAGTTTTGACACCTCCTGATTTTTTCCCCAACACTTTCCAGCAGTAAACACCTTACACAACACAGCTTATAAAAACGAAAGCCTGACAATGAGAATGAAAGCATTGTGTGTGAAGCTTACAGCTACTTATCCCTAGAACACTATCGCGGGTGATTTTCACCCGACCAAACATGTTTACGCGATTTTCATTATGTTGCGTTTGTCTGAGTATCATGGGTCTCTGGGTAGCTTCAGCATTGCCTTTGACATCTTTAAAGGCATATTTGTTTCCCTGATCCAAAACCTGCTTTTTCCTACAGGCACGTGTTCACAGGGTGATTTTCACCCATCAGTAGTGATTGAGGGTAAAGTAGGTTTGGGTGGATTTGATAGCTGCATGTAGGTGAATAATAGGGCTGGGACAATATGATTTTCTCTTGTCCTTTTTCGATATATTTTGATGACAAGTACATTTTCTTGGGTATATTATTTCGGGTAAAATTCGACCGGCAATAGTGATTGAGGGTAAAGTAGGTTTGGGTGGATTTGATAGCTGCATGTAGGCGAATAAGGTCAGTAAGAGTGGTCCTGGAATTTACATGCTATCTTTATTTAGCGCAGTGGTTATGTATATCACAAAATAGTGATCTTAAGGGAATACATGTGGTGATAAAAAATATTTTAATCAGCTTTAGTCAGAAGCTCAGGAGGTAGAGCGGTCGGCCAATAACTGGAAGGTTGGTGGGTCAATTCCCCCCTATCCCTAGTCTGTCAGTCATGTCCTTGGGCAAGACACTTAACCCACCTCGCTCCCAGTGTGTGTCCTCCACTGATGTATGATTGTGAGTATTGTGTGGTGGCGCTCGGAGAGGCCGTAAGCATAAACTGGCAGCCACGTTTCCGTCAGTCTGCACCAAGGCAGCTGTGACTACTAAGGTAGTTTACCACCACCAGAGTATAACTGTGTGAGCGAATGAATGATGTATCCAATGTAAAGCACTATGAAAATCTAATGCATTATTATTATTATTTTTACACACTCAAAATCTGCCATATTTTGGTTCTCTTTCCTGCAGCTTTTCTTGTGCCAAGGACCAGGAAAGACTCAGATGCTCCAGGAATGGGTGGAAAAGAAACTAAGTTTACAGTTTATATACATATATATATATTTTTAGGAATTTTTTGTTCATGAATACCTAATTTTAGTTATTTAGTTGAATTTTACATGGTCCCCTCATGGCACTTTCCCCCTCCCTTTGGACATTGCACAGTTAAAAATAAAAGATAACTACTTTAATTTGTCATGTATTGTGCTATTTTGATATATTTTAATGACAAGTACTTTAACTTGGGTATATTATTTCGGGTATAGTGATGTTGTTACTAATTTTAGAGATAATATTTTCGGGTTAAAAGCAGAGACAGTCTGGCCGCATTATAAATCAGACTGTATCACTCCAGAGTAAACCATTCCCGTCTGTGACCCATATTTGTTATGCAGAGAAGCTAGCGTGCTAACTCGGCTAGCCGGCTAGCTCAGTCAACACTTCAGAACAAAGGGAGGAAGCGTCGCTCACTAAAAATTTCCCACTTTGAGAAGTGGCGACGAGCCGTCATTTATCGCTCCACGGCCCGCTGTGCGTGAGGAGATAACCCGGGTGAGCTGCCGTGTGTGTCTGCGGCTCTGTCTGTCTGGCTCGGGTATAAAAGGAAGGGACCTCCAGCCAGGACAACATGCAGTAAGCCTAGAGGACCCCCACCTCCAATGTCTCCCAAAATAAGACAAGCTCTAGGGCGCTAAAAGACGTCGATAAGTTACCTCCAGTGCCGTCCGAGTTCTCGTTTAAGCTGCCCGAGGAGTCGTGGTGGCTCCCGACACAGCCACCCATGGATGTTTCAGCAGAGCAGCCCGGGCTAGGTAGCTCTCCCCCCGGCCCACAGCTAGAGCTACATCCACTAGCCCCTCTCTCTCTCTCGTTTTCCTCTCCTCCCCCCTCCCCTCCCCACCTCTCTCTTCCCTTCCTGCCTCCCTTTCCCCTCGTCTCCTCTCGTCCTCCCTTTTCTCCTCTTCCTCTCAGCATTTGCGGGTCTCAGCGGGCATCATCATTAGAGATGCACCGATACATTTTTTTCTCGATTCAATCCGATAGCGATACTCGGCCGATATCTGATACCGATCCAATACCACTGTAAGCTTAACAGTGAAGTCAATTATATATTTCCGTTAACTATTAGGGTTTAAGTTGAGCTAAAAAAAAATGTGTTTATAGAATTCATACAGAGAACTATTCCCAAATTGTTGAGAGGTTCATATTTACATATTTTCAAGTTTAAATGATTTTCTCTGCAGCTGTTTGTGAGAGTTAGCAGATTATGCAGAATGTGTTTCTGAGGTTCATTTACATTTATCACTGCGCAATGCAGCGTTCAAATAATATCTATTTAACGTATTTTTTCATTGATGAGACACAAATGTGGACGTCATTTCAACGCCTAAAAGAAGTCCAATAATGACGTCTAAATCTTGGATCCATTTTGCACATTGTGCTGACATCTAGATTTGGTCTTCAGATGACATCCAAATTCTAAACGTCAGAGCGACGTCAAAAAATTGGACGTCAAAATTTCGAACCTATTTTGCACGCCATACTGATGTCTAGATGTGGTCTTTGACGGACCAACCCAATACTGACTTGATCTGCACGTCTCTTCAACGTCCGATGATTGGTGGGGAGGTCCTAGCTTCTGATTGGTAAGTGTTGTACAGGATGTCAATCAAACCTTCACGTTACACCACTGTTGGATGAATGAACCTTATAGGCGGGTTTCTTGTGTAAAAACAATAATAGGTGTGCGCAACCAGGGGGGCAAAAGCCTGCTTCGGAGTGAACTGATATCGATGAAGATGTCGTATTTTTTGCAAGTTCTCCCTAACACAAATGCAATAAAATGTCATTTCATTGAAAAATCGCTTTGTCTTCAATTGCACCCAAATCAGAAAAACACTTGCTGAGATGTCCATGAATTTGAACCAGGTTGTGACGTTGTTTTAGATGTTTCTAATATCAGGAGCAGGGTCGTAATGTTTGCCGATTGTTTGTTTTGCCGATTTGTGCAGTTTACAGCACAAAAGCTCCTTGTAATTTTCTTTCTCCATTGACTTCGCTAGTAAACAAATAAGAAATCTCTTGCTTTCTGCCCCCTGGCCGCGGGCGCATACCTGTGATGACGTTGCACAAAAACGTGTCTATACCTTGTCCTGTGAGTGAAGGCATCAGGCTTGACATTAGCCTTGTCAAAAAAAGGTGACAGCTGGATCAGCGTCATCCATCAGATATCCGATCCAGTTAATTTGTTAATATCGGAGGCAATATCTGATCCAAATATCGGATCATCATCATCTCCATCTCTGGGGAGGAAGGTGAGGTGAAAAAGAAAGAAAGAGACATGGTTACAAGGTGACTGAGAAAGAGGGAACAAAAGAGGAGTGCACTGCTGTCTTCTTTGGGGCGCTCAATGATTGACCTCAGACTGATAACTTGATGGTTATGTATTTTGACACTCGAGCTGGTTTGTGTTCAGAGAAGCTGTTTGCTGTCCTGAAGAAGACACATCAAATTACTCATCCTGAGACTCCTGAATGTCAGAGAAGCCCTCCTGCTGCTTATGGTGTATTCAAATCCGTATTCTGGTGGAAGGCAGAGCCAAGTTGTCCATAGTATATACAGTCTATGTGATGAACATTTTATTCTTGATCCAATATTTGCTAAAAGCATTAAAGCAAAGTTTTGTGTCAGACTTGTAATATTCTAAACCATACATTTTGATATATCGGTTCTTAGTATTGATTATCAGCCTAATGAGAGAGCCCTGAAAAACTAACATTGGTCTACCTGCTCTATATGGCCTCTCGAAGCTATCAGCTTGAGGACTAGTATGGTAAATTCATGGCTGGTAAATACATGTGTTCAAAAAAGCCTTTTTTCCCATTTGGCAGAAATGAGAGTTATGACAACCTTTAAAAACAGCAGAATGAGATTTTTAAGCACTTACAGTCCAGGACAAAACCAGCAGAAATACAAAAGCAGGGCAGTTCTACTTGTTCTATTTCTATGTCTGTATGCTGCAACATTACACCTCATGAACACACTCCTGCCTGGCCACTATCTTTAGGACTGTCCTAAAGAGACTTAAGTGTAATTTGACACACTGGCACCTACACAAACACACACACACAGTCTCTCACAGGTTCATGCACACATACTCAAATACACACACAGACTGAGACTGAGCACCGAGCCGCAGCAACGGGATAGTGAGTGTAGATTTACAACAAAGCTGTCTGGAATTACAAGTATTTCCCACTGCTGGGAAGTCAAAGCAGACATGTTTATGGAGGAGAGGGCTTAGGCGGAAACACTTTTCTGATTGCGTGCATGACGTAATGTGATGTAAGGAGTTTTTGATAATACCCCCGAACATGAAATGTCTCTGCGTACTCTGTGATCAAGGTCACAGCAGGAGATTCTGCAGATTCCTTTGTGTGGTCTGGTGTGACGTGAATGATTTAACATCCTCTTTTATATCAGGAAGTTTGGTTTACGGGTTTTTTGGTGGGAATACCGACACTTTAAAGGCCTGTGAAGTATGCTGACTTATAGATCATTAAGACTTTTAATCATTACAGAGCCTCAAACCTACACTGAAGAGGAAAAAGATGAAACTGTAAACCTGTAAATAAAGATTTAAAAATATGAGAGTCTCTCGTTTTGAAATCTTTACATGGTAGTGTTTAAGCTTGTCATAGAAACAGTGAGCAAGAAAAGGATTGTGTATGTATTTCTGAGAACTACTGTGACCCCTGGTGACACACTTTAACCTTCCTCCTGTGTTAGCTTTTACTACACACCCACCATTTTAAGGGTCAGTTTTGACCCATGTCTTAAATCAGCTGCAAATTACACTGAAAACATTTCTCTATCATCAAATTTGGTTCTCATCTCTAGGTTACCTTGTTAGGCTTCATTATCCATGAAAATATTGCTGATAATATTTTTTGTAGTGGGCCTCTGGGTCTTTCTTTATAAGTATACCCCTCAGACAGACATCTATACTGAATTGGTCTCACTTATCTGGACATGCCAGACGTTTTTTGTGCAGGGTAAAACACGGCAAAATGAGAATTTCCTAAATCTCACATGATTGGAAGATGATCTGACTGTAATTATGGTGACTGTCAGTGCACTTATGATTTCAGTTTTTGCTCTAATTATTAGATATTAATCTAAACGGGTCAACAGCGACCCTAACACGACAAGTGCCATAATTTTAATAAGAGCATTTTATAATTTAGTCCATTTAATTAATTTATTTTTATTTTGTTGAAATAGAGGTTCCTGACAAAGTCAAAAAGTCTTGATGCACAAAAGCAAATTTAAGTGTTTCTTCTAATCATTTAAGATAAAAAACGGGTCAGTGCAGACCCTAACACAGGAGGAGGGTTAAATCTATATTAGAAATACAATAATGTCACTCATTTGCATCCTGATGCAAGTTTGGATGGCAAATGGATTAGTGACAATATTACAGCTGAGAATTATGTTTTACTTCATAGTAAGATAAATGATATTTTTGATGCAGATTTTTTTACTTTTTCCTGAAACATTGTGGGATATGTGTGTGTAGCAGAATCTAAAATAACAATAGTGTAATGATTATTTGTAAGATTATTTTCTGGATTTATCACCCTAATTTAAGATGACATCTTAAATGACATATCCAAATCCTGTTGGGCCCAGGAGGACTCGATCCTTGGACCACTGTGATTAAGGCTACAGCCCCATAAATGCAGCACATGCGCCCCTGACTGAATTAAACCAGCACCTTATAGTGTTTTTTGATCATGCATCCCCTGTAATTTATATTTTAGAAGCTTCAAGGGTGATTAATCTGACCTTTTATTTATGAGCTGATTTTTGCATGAGCACAAAAATGATATATCCCCCTGCTCGTACATGCTGCAGACAGTAGATGGAGCTACAGAGTCTGAACTGCAGTCTGAGGTACCTGATCAAGACCAAAACATCTATGAGTGAAGCAGACTGTCAGTGTTTCATTGAGACTGTACAAGAAGGTCCATGTATCAAGATGAAGTGTAAATCAAGATTACTGACAATAAAAAAACAAATCTCACACACACACAGTTTAGACTTTAAGCCCTATGGTATCTGTTCTGGTCATCGTCAAAATGTCAGACATCCTCCATCTAAATCGAGAATGAAAACAGGAAAGCAGACGACTAGTTTTTAAGCAGCAATTCAAAGGAAGCAACAACAACAACAAAAGCCCAAGAGCCATCAGCCTCCTCTTTTATCAGACCTGTTGACTGTTTCTTATCTGACATTTTCTCTCCAATCTCAGGTCTCATTTCTACTCCTTTTCATCTTCTTCTTTATCAGCCTCCTCTCCCTCCATCTCTTTCATGTGTCACACCCAGCAGCTGACACAAAGGTTTGTAATGGGCTTGTCATTGATTCATTCATTTACTGCTCCTCTCTTCTCTGGCACAGAGTCCGCTGCCTCACATCTGCCCTATTAGCCCTCTGATGCCGTAGTCCCAATCGTCTTTTCATTTGTAGACGGGTCTGCGTGTGGATCCATTGATTAACTGTTATCTGTCAGGGCCCCAACCCCCACTCAGGACCTCCAACAACACAGTGGATTGGATTAGGACTGGAGGTCAGAGATGTTTTAGGCTGTTAAATCCATTCCAGTCCAGCTGTGTGTGTGACAACCCCTGGCAGACAGCACACAGAGTGTCCTTTATCTACTTGATGCCCCCACCCCCAATTCTTCACTGCAACACTCCTCCAGATAACTGAGGATGGAGCGGACGTAGACAATGGCACAAAAATGACAAAAGTCTGAAATCACAGTGAGTGAAAGCCAGATAGTGAGAAATTAAGGTCAAGTTCACCCCGAGGACCTAAGTAGTATTTATCAAAACTATGCTCCAAATAGCTCTCCTTTGTCTCTTTTTCTCTGCTGGACTCTTCAAATGTAGACTTTACGCCTCAACAATATATGTTTAAGAACAGAAGATGTCCAAAAATATTTAGATTTTCTGATATAAATGTTCCAGGATGCTCGTTTTGTCAAACTCTTTAGTAAAAAAGATTAATTTCATTGTTATGCATATGTACTTGGACCACATTTGTGATGTTAAATCGTCCTTTTCAGTTCAGTTTTTGTAAATATGTAAATCTTTTTATTACACCAGCCTGAGTGTCATTGTCTTCATGTCTGTATTTGGGTCTCTTGCTAACTCCCGTCCCCACCCAGACAATGTTTAAAGTCCATCTCTGATCGTTTTTTGTTTATTTTTTTAACTACTTAAGTGTTCTCAGTGGTCTTTAAATTGTCATTATGAAGTTTTTAGCCAAAATCTCTTTACCTGTGTCATTTTCAAGAACTTTTCTTCTGCAAAGTTTCAGTAGCTCATTCGCTATTCGCTAGCTTGTAGCCTAACTTTGCTGGTGTAATAGAAGTGACAGGTAACATAAAAGCTATTCAGCTCGCAGACACTAATGTCTTTGGGGACATGATGAAAGTTAAAATCTTAATTAGCTTTTTTACCGCCTCCATACATCAAGCGCGAGTAAAATCATTCGCGCGAATGAATTACATGTTAAGTCAATGCAAAGACGTGATTCAACGCTCCTACTACTCTGGCGGCACGAATGATGCGAATTGGGCGGTGGCTCCACCACGGAACAAAAACAATCCCCAAACCCTTTATTTATCATCAAATCATCTTTGTTTTTCAGCATCTATAATCAGGACTTATTTCACACATTGTAATTCTCAAAGATTCCTGCCAGTGTGCAGTTTAAAAAATGTCCAAAAGTGAAATATTGAACCCTTATGGCATTGCCTTGACGCATTGACGGCACAGTTCGAGGACCTGCTCGCCCAGGTGGGAAGCAGCATCTCCCGCCTGGACACGAAATACAGGCGCTCCATCTCAGCTTCGGAGCGCCTGTCTATCTGTCTGTCCCTCATATAAACGTCTCTAAGCCCCTTCCACCGCTTGCGGGCACACATCCACTGCAAAGACACACACACACATACGTTGAAACATGTAGCCTAGTAAGCAGGGGCATTTAGCTGGGTGGTAGCTAACGGATGTGATTAACTGCTCCTCCATTGTAATTCTTCTTCTCCTCTTCCTTGTTTCGCCGGTTTGTTGACGTCAGCAGAGCCCTGATTGGCTGTCGCGGCACGAAGTCGCTCCCAAAGTTCAAATATTTGAACTTTGGGAGCGACGCGACTTGGCGTCCTGCGACCTCGGCGACGCGACCTCGGGGACGCGCCTTGGCGACCGGTCGCCCGGTCGCGCATGGTCGCGTCGCAGGAAGCCGGCGGTCGCCAAGTCGCGTCAGGTCGCGGCTGGCCATAGACTTTGCATTGGGAGCCGTCGCCAAGTCGCGTCAGGTCGCAGCTGGTCTGAACGCGGCTTTACTGTCTCCACACATCAAGCGCGAGTAAAATCATTCGCGCGAATGAATTACATGTTAAGTCAATGCAAAGGCGCAGATGATGGAAGCTGAAAATGTCTCAATTTGAGCGGATATTCATGTCATGATAACTAATCAGCACGAAGGTGGCCAGGTGATGGATGGTTGTTCGCTGGTATCTAAAATGGAGGACAAACTGAGTATGTCGTTGTGTGGGTGCCCCGAATTATATGATACCCTTTCTTTCAATTACCGAAACTGGAATAAAAAGGAGCTCAAACGGAGAAAAGTGAGTTAGAAGATCGAATCACCTGGTAAGTTGTAAAAAACCTTTGTCTGTCATTTGATCCCGCCGGTTAAATTGGAACTGGATTACCGTTGAAATTACCGTTGACATGCAAATAAAGCGAGTAATTACTATTAATTCAGGTGTCTAGATTAGCGGGAACTAAGCGAGTAGATGATTTTACTTGCGCTTAATGTGAGCGCCCAATTACGAGTATTGCAATCCGCCAACGCACACCCTTGTTCCGCAATCGTCCTCTCTACTTCTCACAATCTGGTCTGCATAGGGGGCGGAGCTTGCAGTGGTGACGTAAGAAATCTCACTGAGTCTGAACTTTCTGTTTGGGTCTGCTAGAGGTTCAAAGCAATTTGAATGCAATTTCACATGATTGAAAAACATGATTTTCATCTGAGAGTTGAATCCAAGCCGAACAATCATTTTAGAAATCCAACACAGCCGAGTCGCTGAATATTTCCTTGAGATATGATCTGTTTGCATTTCTACTTTATGAGACTTTATGTTTTTTTATCTGTAGATGAGGAATGTAAACTTGAATTCATGTTGAACTTCGGCTGTGGTGCCAGAGGAACTGCAAAGCTCATTGTATACTCACTATGGCGTGTGATCTAATGAGGGAATGTTTTATTGGGTTATTCCTGTACATGTTATTTGCAATGAGAACAGCAGGTCTGTGACATGAGACCATAACAGATGCCTGGAAAGGACAACCCTAGTATTAACATGACAATAGTACCATAATTAATCTATAAAATCACAATAATTACTTCACTGAGATTGAACGTATAAAACAGAGAGAGAGAGAAATGGTTGGAGATGGTAGAGCTGACCTTCTCTTACTAATTTTGGGCATGCCTGCAGCAGCACCACGGCATTCATACATCTTATCATTCCAGAGTCTGTCTTGCTCTCTGTTGTGTGTGTGAGTTTGTGTGTGTGTGTCGGTGTGTTGGTGTGCGTCACACACAAAGGCCACACACAGACCTGACTTGTTATGGTTAAGCTCAATTTTATGGAGATTTTTTTGGGTATCTCAATTTCCACAAAGCACCGACAGTATATTTCCCGTTAAACAAAGTATCATGTTAAGCTACGCTCTCTGTACATGTCTCCACTTCACTGTTCTGGATTCTGATTTAAGACAGTGTGATGCAGGGAGCAAACTCAGCAGTTAAATACTTACCAAAACATCCTAGACCTGTTCTGACCCCTGAGTAAAACAGACCAATCGTAAATACAAAAGTGCCAAACACAGACCTTACAATATGTAGTTGTCTGGAACCCTGTTCTGTGTAACACAGCGAATAAGAACTAAAGTATTTTGAGCTTACCTTGAATAACATATTGAAATACATGTTTTGTTGTCACGCTAAATTATTGTGATGACTGTTGATTGCTAAACTTTGCTAAAGAGTAACAGTGAAAGCTCTCGTCATGTATTATTTATTAGCGCTTCTGTTTTGTTTTTGTGAAATTAAATAAGTGGAATATGTTGTACTGCCCAACGTGCAACTGTAAACACGGTACTATGGTGTTTGTAAGAGTAAAATACTGTGTTATGTGTTGTTTACGACTGGTATAGCTAACAACAACTAACAACCGCTGACAATGGCTAACATTGACAACAGTTAAAGTCAGTTGACAATTGTTAACAAAGGCGAACAGTAGGTGTCCATCTTGACCATACGTCCTCTTTTGGACGTATGGTCAACCTACCATAGTATATACAGTCTATGGTTTTGCTGCTTTAGACCAACTCTCCAGCTGCTCCAACTACTTGCATAAGTATTACCTCTGCCCATCTCTCTTCCTGCATCCCTTCTCTAAACCTGCTATAATACAACCGCCATCAGTTTTATGCCCTAGCAACGGTACACACTGGTAAGACTGGCTCTGAAATTGAGGTCAGTGGCATAGCCGGTGCAAAAACAACACAAAACTGCCTCCTCTGGACACAGGCCCCGAGACTTTTACTTTAGCCAAGTTGACTTCTGCTTGTTTACAGCATTAGGAATGTTTCCATCAGCCCATATTGCAAACAAGAAAAAAGATTCAGCTCAGGATAATTGTTTAACAAGCACACAAACATGATACATTCTCTTTGTCTTAAAACCCCTTTCCAGTTGAGGTTTATACGGTGTCAGCAGAGACCGAGAAATATGTTAATACTTTCAAATTTATGTCTTATGGGCAGGTCCAAACATTTCAGAAATTACACGTTAATCAAATACAAAGGAAGGATTTTATTTTGATTTAGAGTGTATAAGACTTAATGCATTTGTGGATGCAGTAAAGAGGATTTATAACAGAGGTTACCTTCAATTACCACTCTGAAGTGCAACATCACAGCATTCCTCCTGCTGGTTTGTTTGTACTCTGTCTCTGGAAGTGTCCTCTTCAATAAGCAATGCAGTTTGGCTGTGGAAAAATCCAGCAGGCTTTGGCAGAGCTTAAAGGGCAATAAAAACATAATGAAATAAACCAGCAGAGCCTCCTGTTTGACCACGGCATAACTGAGGTGTTTCACCGACATGGTCGCTAGGTATTAAAACTGTGTAGATGTGGGTCTTGTCCTTTTAACTTCTGACTAAGAGTGCTTTTTGTGAGATGTGGCTGACATGTTTATACTGTATATTGTGTCACTGTGTCACATGTATGGCTAACATACATTTCCCATTATTATTCACATTGTGTGTCGCTGATAGACTCTGTCCAAGCTGAAAAAAATGTGAAAACAGAATAAGTCATGTATGACAGAAAATCAGATTTGTGTGTCAGAGTTTCGTCCTAATGCATCCAGACATGATTGGATAATAAAAGTACACGACAAAGCAACAGGAGTCACGACAGCTGGTGTGAATTTAAGTGGCTGAGG